ATGAAAATTTTAAATGGAAAGAATATTGCTTGAAAAATAGAGAAAAAATATTTTTAACATTTTTTTAATTAATAACGGAAAAAAATAGCAAAAAAAGTTTTTCGTTACAATTAATGAATTGGGATAAGATTTATCTAAAAACCAATGTTTTGTGATCCAAATTACATAAATTGGTAATAAAAATCTGTAATTATCAAATTATAATAAAAGGAAAGTAAATTTTGCCATTAAACCTCAAATAGTAATAATAATAATAAGATGGTCGGATTTAGAGATTAGTTTCGTTAAGTTTGTCATGTCACCAATCCGCATGCAACCAACACTAATAATGTGACGTCCCCGGCTCCCTTACCTATTACCTAACAAGCGTGATCGGCGCGACACACTCGTCGAGACTAAGTCTCCTACTTCCTCCATCATACACAACGAAACTAAACCATGAGAAACGTATGATATAATTTACAACATTATTATATATAGTTTTATAATTTAACATATTCAAAATGCCTAAAAATTTACGTCCTAGGCCCGCACCCCTTTTTAATGATACAAAAGATATTCCTATTTTTATGAGTGACACATGAGCCTCTTTTAGCGAGAATCGATAGCATCCTCGATCGACTTAACTTTGCACTTGCTCGAACAACACACAAATACAATAACGGAATGAGCTAAAGCTCGGTAAGTAGGGTGATGCATGTGATATGCAATGCTATTGTGTTTCCCATACTTTCATTCATTTTAATCCGAGTACCCTAGGTACATGCAAGTTCATGCGCCCAATCTCTCGATGATCGTGTTATCACCTATCGCTCGCAATGGAATTATCCCTCGTTGTAGCACACGGTTAGCGGAATTATCCCTCGCTTAATGGTGTTAGTAAATAGAGCTCGCACTATGGATTTCTTGCTATTACCCAATCCACTCAATTCGGTTACCAAACCGTGTCAATTCAAGACTCAATGGTTTTTCTCAATTTATTTTCACCCCCAATGCACATGATGCACGTGATGACATGTTTAATCACATTCAACCAAACTCGGATACCGGGCCTTCTTTCTTAAGCCATACTCACGGTCCAACCATCACTCGGGATTCACTCGGCGCTCACATACCAATCATGGTACTCATAACGAGAACACAACCTCTCGCTCATTAATATTGTTCATTAGTTTCATTAATAATTAAAGAAGGTCCAATTCTTTTTTTTTTTTAATTTTCTCTCTAAAAGAATAAATTTTCTTTAAAATTTTAAAAGCCTTTTTATTTCTATCTAAGTCCACTTATTTTAGCCTAAGTCCATTTCCGTTAGTCTAAACCCATTTACTTTAAAACCAAGCCTTTTGATTTTAGTCCAAGTCCATTACCAAGTTTATTTTATTTAAGTCAAATCCCATTAACATTAATCCAAGCCCATCTCATTTTAACTCAAGTCCAAGCCCATTACCATTAATCCAAGCCCATTTATTTTAGGTTAAAAATTTTCCAGCAGTTGTACACCTAAGTAACCTATACCAAATCAGTCATAACTTCTTAAATATATATCTAACACTCACGAAATTTTAAGGAGAGATATTAGACATATAGATCGACAACTTTCATTCTTTAAGTTTCCTCCAAAATCCATTATAAAAGCCTTAAATAAATCACACAAGTTTCGGAACTAAATAATCTTTTCCAATAGCTGGTCCATTCAACGATCCGTACCAAATCAGTCATAAATCCTTATATATAAATCTAAAAATCATGACATTTTATATACATATAGTAGACACATAGAGGAACAACTTGCCTTTTTTGAGTTCAGCCGAAAAACCACTCTTTAATCTCGAAATAAATCACACAACTTTCGAAATGAAATATTTTTCCAGTAGGTGGTCCATTTGAACGATCCATGCCAAGTCAGTCATAACTCCATATATATATTTCTAAAAGTCACAAAATTTTAAAGAGACATAGTAGACACATATATAAACAACTTTCATTCTTTGTATTGTTCCTAAAAATCACTCTAAGATCTCGAAACAAATCACACCAAGTTCTGGTTTTTCCATCCCTAAAATCTAGAAATCTTCTCTTAAAGCACATTTCTCATTACACATGCATAACCATCTATCATCAAACATCAAGTGTTTAAAGTCATCATAAAATACCATAATCACATCTTACATGAATTAAAAACTCATAAAATAAACATTGAAGACATAAACAAAGCAAGAAAAAAAATGAAACCTACTTACATTGGATTAACTTTCTTAAAATCTCTTTTGCTTCCTTTTAGTTTCTCTTTCCTTTTCCTTTCTTTTCCCATTCTCTTCATTCCTTTTTTTTTCTCTTTCTCCCCTCTCTTTCGCTCTTTCTTTCTTGGCTTTAAGGAAGCTACGGGATGCACCAAAAATGCATCCTTATCTCATTTTTTTTTACTTAAATATCTCATATAATCTCATCTATTTAATGCTCATTACAAGTGTCTAGAGCTTGTGGTGAAATGCAAGGTAAATGTGGTTGAAATTAATGAAATGATACGTTTAAATTTCAAGGAGGAAGAGGTGATGGTCAATGAAAATTTATAGAAAGTAGGGGTCAAAATGTGATTAAATGAGGATAATTAAATTAACTACATTTTCAGAATTCCTCCTAAAATTTTGGCAATTAGCACTTTTTTTTTAATTTATACTTATTCCATATAAAAGAAATTTTCTAACTAATTTACCTAACTTTTTTTTAAATATTGACGTATACTAGTTACTCTCAATAAATACGTACATACCACATATTTCGAGTGCATATGTTGACTTAGTTACGGATTTTCACGTACGTAATCGATATATTATATATATATATATATACGTACGAATATAAATATCTCGATACGTATATTTATACGATTACAAATTTTACGAGGGTTACAAATAAAATCAAAGAACCAAAAAAATCCTTCCATTTTGACTCGAAGTGGATTTTATGTGAATAAACTAATAAATAAAATAATAATAAAAAAGATTTTATCCTTATTTTTGCCTAGTCAATATTGCATCCTTTTCAGTTGTGTTGTCTATTTCAGCTATATACTACAGTTGTAATAAAAATCACACAACTGCATATGCTTCTTTCAATTAGAAAATTGGCGTGAAATATTGGTCTGACCTAACATATGTAGATTATTATCGTTAGTTAATTTTTAGCATCTTACGATGTACTTGTTGGACACACGTAGGATGCTACCTATTTCTGTTAGCTACCTCATCCGATTTATTCCAACCGAAAATGCGCAATAGGGACAAATGTGTTAAGACAGAAAAAGATTTGTGCCAAATTTGCAAAAACTTAAAGGTCGAGTACTGATTATTTAGGTGCAATATAATCAAGGACTGATTGACAATTAATTCATTTTAAAATTTTTTTTTAAAAAACTCGAACTCTATTGGCTGCTCACCTGTAATTTCAAGTCATACAGTTAATTATTAATAAGCGTATGGAAAAACATTCGCATGCATGCATGCATGTATCCATGTATGTTTGCCTATGTATCTATCCAAAAACAATTTATGAATTTTTATGGAAATGGAAAATTTTGACCGAGCCAGCAAAGATCCAGGCAAGCAGCTAATTAAATTGTCTTAAAGTTTCATAAAATTTATAATATTCAAGAAGTAATATATATATAGACATAAAAATAGAAAGAATATCTAAAAAAGAAAATTTTAAAAGTTGATCCAAGGTGAAATTTTTTTTATCACTTTTTATGGGTTCGGATATAATTTTTTTTCATGTGTCTATCCCTCTTCTTAAAAATGAATTCATTGAATATCTATTGTATATTTGTACTAATTACTCTTTTATTATTATAAAATTTTTCTTTCACTAATTACTTTTTAATATTATAAATTTGTTAATGGTCATGATCCTTTATCTCTGATATCTTCTATAGCCGTTAAAATGTATTTCTTCATAGAGAAAAAAACATTTGCTTTTTAATTTTTCTCGAGAAACAGGAGATTTATATAGCTTCTACTAAAATTTGCTCTTTTATATATATATATATATATATATGGCACTTTCTTATATGTTGAAGATCAGCCAGGTTCTTTTTTTCTTTCTTCCTGTTAATCCTTTGTTTTTGTTAACATAATTATGTCTACAACTTTTTAGAGATTTTGGGATTAATTTTTTGGATGCTTAATTTCTTAGCAGCTTACCATGGACGCGTGGTGGCTACCAATTTCTACTGTGAAGGGTGAAGGGGGACAAATGTGTCAAGCTCAAGAAAGGTTTGAGACAAATTTGCAAAAACTTAAAGGTTGAGTACCGATTAATTAGTGTTAATAAAATCCAGGACTGATTAATTAGTACGCCAGAGACACCTGTCATCACTTCAACCATCCAGTTAATTAATGGAATAACATGATGAGGACAATAGCACAAAAATGAAAAAAGATTGCAAAAAACACAAAACATGGTATATATCCAACATGTTTATCAAATTTTCTGACCAATCAAGGAAGCAAACTGGCATCATTGGTCGTCACTGTCTTTAACCCTCTTTCTTTTTGGCATTTCACGTTAAGAGGAGCAAAATTCGAACTTGAACTCCAATTCTTACTTCTTTTTATAATAATAATAATAATAATAATAATAATATATATATATATATATATATATATATATACATGAATTAAAAAATTATTTAAAAAAAAAAAAAAGAACCCTCTAAAATAGGCAGTGCTGCACTATTATAAAAAGCTCTAAATATAGCAAAAACCAGAGCGGTTTCTTCTTTGGCTCATCGGGAAAAAAAGAAAAAAAGTTGTGGTTCCATCTGTCACTGACCACCATTTTCCTTTTCTCTGTATATGTTCTTCTAGAAACGGCAACCATTTTCTTAAGATTATCAAAAACCTTAAATTCTCATCTTTTGTACGCGGAGAATCATAAGATAAAACCAAGCACAAATTTTAAGGATTTAAAGGAATTGATTGTTATCAAGAATTTTGTAATCTATGGCAATGGTGCAATCTCCGAAGGCAGCAACATCATCATCATCGCCGTCGTTAATTCTGACGTCCGGTGCAAGTGGGAGAATTAGTGCCTTATTTTCCGTTCAAGCGTTGAAAAGCCTTTTAATGCTGATAAATGCATTTTTTTGCTACTTTTAGCCCCTTTCCGTGGACGGAGACGGACGGTGGTTGCAGTATCGGTGGCGGCAAGGGGGTCATCGTCGTCTTCGTCCGGTGATCAGAAATCCAAGGATGATAGGTTGTTGCAGGAAAGTGGGGTCCACCGGACCAAGTTACGGGTCCCGGCAACAATTGTTCCGTGGAAGAGTGGTAGCGGTGGTGGGGTCACGGCGGTGGTGGATTCAGAAGTTGGGGGCAGGAGGGCCATTTCAATAAAGAGGGTGTTACAGGATGATGACCCCAATACTGTTAGGGAGTTTTCACTGTCTGGTACTTGTCGGGGTGATACCATTTTTACCCAGTCGTGGACCCCAGCTTCTATTAAAGTCAGGTATTTTTGTTGAATTTAATGATTTATTATTATGGTTCTGTCTTAATTAATAATTTTTTGGATTAGTTGGTTTGATTTATTGGTGATAAATTAATTAATTTGATGGAGATTGTGTTTGATTGTGATTGAAACAACGCCATTTTCTCCTGTTTTTGGTAATGCTTTGTTCTTCCTTTTAACAGTTGATAAAAATAAAAACAAAAAAATTTAGTAGTTTCCTGTTTGTTGTTAGCAGAAAATTCAAAAGCTCAAAATATGGAGATCAAATACTTGCAATATTGTTTTTTTTTTCTCCTTGTTTTTGGAACACGTATTTTAGGAAAATAATTACTCAAAAATTTTCTCCAAGAAAGCATTTATGATATTTTTCCCATGGTCGAAAATGATTATGGCTAGATTAGTTTTGAAGAACGTTTAGAACATCAATTTCAATGGATTGCCAAAAAGATAATTTATGGGTTTTTGAAATGTTTAGAACATTAATGTCATATTTCCAGTTTTTTTTTTTTGCATTAAGTAATTTAATTAGTTCATCTTTTACACCTGGCTATTTGTTGGTATAAGGAATCTGCAGATAGATTACCTACATATTCTTCTTGCTTATATCGTCACTTAAAATTTGAACCTGTTTTTTGGTTTGTTCTAGCTGAGTTATGTCACTGTTTGGAATTTACAGATAGATTTTATGCTTATTCTTCTTGTTTATATCGCTTCTTAAATTTTTGAATGCTACAATACAGACATGATGCATTGTTTCACTGTCTGTTGATGGAACTGCACATAAATGGCTGCGTTTCTAACGGTACTGATTAATTAGAGAGCATATTCTTGGATGTTACTATTGTTACTATCACCTGTTGTTAGAAACTATTGCGTTGCCATATCTGGAAGGAATAATATGGTCTGCACAGATCGGTCTAATAATTCCCTGGAGAAGGACCGACCCCCAAGAATTGTATTACCCAAGTAAAGCCATTGTTATCTGTCCTTGGCTGTTTGGCTACTTGCTCAGAATCCAACATCTCTTTCACCTGGTCCCCTCCCTCTTTCCCTCATCACCTGCATTATGGTGCCACAGTCTTCAAAATGCCACTTGCATTAGAGAGATTGAATTCCAAACTGTTAATACTGTCTGTAATGTCTGAGACTACCACATATATTTTCGGACAACCCCATCTGTTGGCACACAAGTCTAATGGATTGCATTCTTCTTTACCATGATTTGACAGATACTTCATATAAAAATTCAGATATGAGAAAATAAAACGTTGAAGATAAAGTTTTGAGTTGGATTGAACACGATTAAAGGGAATAACTAGTTTTGTGTCAGTTTAAACACAATTGAAGGGAATAAATAGGTTTGATTCACATTCTAATTGGTTTTTTAGGCTGAGCAAAACAAATTTCTTTTAAGTAGACTAGCAGGTTTGAGTCCATTTTTGCTGCCTGAAATTGTGCAGCTCGTTTTGAGTTAATGACTAAGCATATAATAAAGGAGCATAATGATACTCAAACGTGTTGTGATTATAAAATCACTGTCATCATTTAAGTAATACGCATACTGGAACCAGTATGCTTATATACTATGCTTTCAGTACTGATGTATACTAGTTGAAGGAAGTAATATGGTTTTCTTCTTCTTTTTTTCCGTTCAATGAATTACTTGGTGGTCTAATAATTTTACTAATTGCAATTTGTCAGACTTGAAATTTCTACTTTCTACAGCATTAATTGATCAGTTCATATTTGCTATAAGTTTGTCCTTCTGCCTTCAAAGTTAAATCTGGAAGTATATATGAATTCATGCTTTCCTGGTGCCAAGTCCTAACATTAAATTGCATGTATTTTGTAGGGGGCTGGTTGTTCTGATGCATGGTCTGAATGAACACAGGTTTGTGATCTGTGCCTAATGCTCCATTTGGAAGTCATGCTCTGTTGATTCTATTGTTTGATTATCATCTCACAATTCCATTCTTTACAAACAGTGGCCGATATAGTGACTTTGCGAAAGAGCTGAATGCTAATGGGTTTAAGGTTTATGGAATGGATTGGATTGGTAAGTTTGAAACTCATTCTTCTTTATATTTCATTCTTGATTTAAAAAAAAAAAAAAACCTCTCTGTGCTTGCTTGATGTCACTACCCTGCATATTGGTGATCGTTGTTGCTCTGGTATTTGTGTTTTTCTCATACTTGAATTGTTGTAATTTTTCATAACTATTTCATTCAGGCATAACCTTTTGGTTTTTTATGTGGATATAGCATTGAAACGTATATGATAGTATGATCTCATCGCCTTCTTGACAAATGTCTTGATAATTTTCGACAGAATTTTTATAATAAGGACTTAATGTTGTTATATGGGCACAGAGGAAAAATGACTCTAGAATAAGTTGATTGATGTCTGATTTTCCCAACAAAAGAAACAACGACACTAGACTTGTCATTCCCTTTGATTTGCCCCCCTCATATGACTGTAATCTTGATTATTGATAAGTTCCTCTAGAGGCCAGATCTGTGGTTTCTGATTCATTTCAAGGTACTGGAAGCAAAGAGAGTTGAATTGTTTCACCATTAGGATTCCCTTGTTCTTATGCAGCGACAGAAAAAGATGTGCAGAAAAAAAAAAAAAGAGTCCTTATTAAGAGGAGTTATAACCATAGACTGTTCTACAGACTTAGATAATTAAAGCCTTTACAACGATGGTCATGTTTTTTATCTGCTCAGAATATTGCAGAGCAGCTTGTTTTGCTCCTGCTGCTTAAGGGGATCATGTGAAGCAGTTATGGGATGGACCATTGAGTTAAGTTCGCTTGCAAGTTGATGAATATGAAGTTGATTTGACAAACTTAGTAGTGTGAAAACTGGAAGGAATGAGTTTTCTATTTTAGCAGTGTAAATGTGCTATCATGAACATGAAGTTTCTAAAAGTTCACCACCTGTCCTATGATGGATCCTCTGGGCTGTTATTTTCTGAAATTTTTCATGCAGAGACTGAGAACCAGAAGAAAGCAAGAAATATGAAGGAAAAATCCAGCAGCATCACTGATATTTTTTAGTTTCTCCTGTTAGAAATTCTCCCTGAATGGTTGTGGTGGAATCTAACTCCGAGTTGGAAAATAATATTAACGCTAACAATTGATAGGAAAAAAATTATATATAACCATTGCTTTGATGCTTTGTTTCTCTTTAAGCGTTTCATAGTCTAGCAATCTCTATTCTTCAACAATGCATCTATATTTGGGTGTTGCAGGAATTGGGCTGTCTGTCCATTGGTGCAAAAAGTAACTTGTGAAGCTCCTCTTAATAAGTAAGCTTGTTATTTGCATGCATGTGTCTGACCTACTTTTTCCAGAAAGCTCAGAAGGGAGGATGAATGTTTCAAAGTTGTAGTCACCTAATATGTTTCCAGTTTTATGATCTATAGAGGCAACGGAAAAAAATTACTATGCGTGCTTAACCTTTGCAGTTTTCTTCTTAGTGTAATCTTTCTCTTCCGTTGAAGTAAAACTTTAGAAAAATACCAAAGGTCTGATCCCTAGCCTGCTCTCAGAACATTGCAGAACCAGCCTCCATTTTGAAGGAGCATAATTGTGCTCATGTCATGATAGTTAAGTGACAACACTGAAACCTGAATTAAGAGCTGGGATTCTATTGCAACTTAGGAATCTGCATGTCCTTCATTTTTTCTGGGTTAAACAAAAAGGCAACCAGGCCATTATTTTATTAAAATGACATTTTTATTTGTTACTCCGACCTTTTCATTTCCTATTCCTTTTCTCCGACTGGTATATATGAGGCCTGTTGATCCTGAGTAACCACTCATATTGAAGAGCTTTAGCAGTATGGTTTTCTTCAGCAACTCGTTGTTTTGCTTATGAGATTTACATGGTGCAGTAACTTCTGATAATTAGCTCATGAATTTTAATTATTTTGTAAATATTTTTTCTTACCTATTCGATCCTTTTCTTCAAACCAGGACATGGTGGAAGTGATGGGCTACATGGATATGTTCATTCTCTTGATTATGCTGTTGATGATTTGGTATGTTTTGATTTGTATCCACAAGATGCTGATGGGGTTTATGTTGCATCCAATGAATCTAACTTTGCTCCATTCCCATCCAACATTTTACAGAAATCATTTCTTGACAAGGTTTTATTGGAAAATCCTGGGCTTCCATGTTTTTGCTTTGGGCACTCAACAGGTGCAGCCATTGTTCTTAAGGTATTGTTGTTATGCAATGTAGTTTCTTGCATTTCCCTGAAAGAATCATCTAATAGAAACTCCCTATTAATGTGCGTGCCCGTGCCCAGGTTTATGCACTTATTCCTTGTTGCAGGGCAGGATCCAATAACAATTTGTGGAATCTTGGTCTGTCTTATAATTTCTCTTAACAATTTTCATTTCTTTGCACGAGTAAATTTGCAGGCGATGATGGATCCAAAAGTTGAAGCTCGCGTTTCAGGTGTGGTATTGACTTCACCTGCGGTAGGAATTCAGCCATCCCATCCTCTGATTGTGGTAAGGATTTCTATTATATTTTCCTTTCTAGTTCATAAACTATAGAAGAACATGGAATGGTATTTTGTTGACGTGAAATGGAAATCAAATCATTAAGCGGGATGCCCTTATTTTTTTTGTCATGGCAGCTACTAGCCCCGGTTATCTCATTTTTGCTGCCCACGTTCCAAATGAACACTACAAATAAGAAGGGCATGCCAGTTTCTCGGGACCCAGAGGCATTAGTGGCTAAGTATTCAGACCCACTAGTCTACACCGGATCTGTCAGGGTAAGGACTGGCTATGAAATTCTCCGAATTACAAACTATTTACAGCAGAACCTGAAAAGATTGAGAGTTCCACTTCTTGTTCTTCATGGCACTGCTGACACTGTAACTGACCCGGATGCTTCTCGAAAACTGTATGAAGAAGCCTCCTCAACTGACAAAACCATCAAACTATTGGAAGGGTTCTTACATGATCTCTTATTCGAACCAGAACGGGAAGAAATCATGAAGGACATAACTGATTGGTTGAATTGTAGAGTATTAACGGTTAGGTAGTGCAATGATAGAAATCATTGAAATCTTCACTAACCAAGAGACTACAACAAAACTGAGACAGAAAGGGGTAGAAGACTTCACTTTGGTCAGCAGCATTTTTATGCATTGCTGCTTGAAGCCTTGCATTTAAGCATATGAGATAAGTGTTTATTGCAGAATAAGATTCAGCATTTATTATGTTGAAACTGGACAATGTTCTCGTTGATCTTCTTTTTTCATTTGTGTGTGGAGCATTAAGGATTCATCCAAAATTCAAATATATATTGTACTTGTTGCCTGCAATGTCTTTGAAAAATAGAATTTCTTGCTGCTCGGGAGCATTTTCCCGTCATAGTTGTAGCTTTGTAGGCAGGCCCATTGGCCACCCACCATGCACAGGTAATGATTCCCCCTACCTTTGTTTCTTTGACTTCAAAGCTATCATTTTTCTTTTAAGATCAACGTCTTAATATTTTTCCAAAGAAGAAAGAAGAAAAAAAAGAAGGAAAATGTCAAGACAGATGTTGTACATTTTTTAGGTGTCAATACGATACGGCTAGTATCACATGTATACCAAGTGTCCAAAAACGTGCCCATATGGCCATATGCAAGTGCTGTTCCAAAGGCACCTTAACACTTAAGGATTCAAATCTATATAAAGACAGAAGAACAGCGATCCTGTGATCTAATGATAAATCTGTTATTGCAATTTCAAGTAAATATTAGTGAGGGCTGATCAACTATGTCAAATATTGAACCGATGGATGGAAGAAGATGCGAAAGAAAGTTTATTTAAGTTTAATGGATAATACATCATTCTAGAAACACAAGATCAGCATGAGAACATGTCAGAAATCACTGAAAAATTTTTCAGCACATTCATTCAACTCTGCTTTGCCTCCTCCTTGATCTTTCTAAGTGTGTTCACGTAAGTATAACTGGAAAATGATACAAAAAGCTTGCGGAACCTGCAGAATAAGGTCACATAAAATGAAATAAGAAAGCATATCTAACCCTAAAGCAAAACACAAAAAAATAAAAATAAAAATAAAAGAAAGGAAAGCAGATTGGTGACAAGGGAGACGTTTCAATCCCAAGTCACAACATGGTCACTATCCTCTCAATCCCATTTCAAAATTTGTGACAGCATACATACCAAACCCATTGGCTCAAGTGTTCTGCCATTGCATGGAAGCTCTTCTGGGGATGCTCATTTAGCAGGCAATGCATCGTCCCATCAGGGTATTTCATGGGTAATAACATGGACAACCAAATATCAACAGGTCCACTATACTTCCGCAAAATGCTGGTACTGACCTGAGAACAAAAGTTGAAGGAGAGAGTGAAGATTTTTTTTTTTTTTGAAAGAGAAAAATACAAATGAAACAATATGTTCAATCATTATGAGGGAAAAGGAAAAAACAGTTAATTGAACTTGTGATGCAACTAATACTCTAGAGACCCACATTTTAGCGGCAAATGCAAGTGTTCAACACCAACCCATCGCTACACTAAAGGTAAAAAGTTTAACAAGAAAGATATTTCACATGGGACTTTGGGGAAAAGGGAAGAAGGGACTTTTGGTAAACAGAAGTAGACCAGACTCATCAGAACTACAAATAACATAAAAACAATGGGGTTGCTCTGATCATTTATGTTTTTACAGCATCAAAGGATCCAGTCAAACAAAATCGGATCCACAAAAAATGGCATAAAATGAAACATTGGGGTTAACTAAGAGAGAGTTAAAGGACATGTATACTTACAAGTTCCCAGGCTTCAATACTTTGTGAAACATTGCGCAGGAGCTTGCTGCATATGCATACAAAAGGGTAAAGATTAAAATAAATCCAAGAACCAATAGTAATTTTGTCAGAAATAACAACAGCTTGGAATGGGCCTACTAGAAACCACTTTCACAATAGTGAAAGATAAGATTCAAAGCAGGTATAACATTTATCTTGCACTTGAGCATAATGATATGGCAGTTACCCAATCCAAAATCCATCCCACGTCCTAACTGCTAGTTCCCTACATTTAAAACTTAAAATTTAAAAATGCAATTCAAAACACATTCCACGTGGAATATAAAATTTAATAGGACCATTTTCAATGCAAAACATGGAAAATTTGACACTCTTTTATTTTCATATTCCTCAGACATCTTTAACAAGTCGTACTGAGAGTCTATTATGATTCGGATTTTATACAAAATACAGTACTGGGACTTAATTTGTGCATTCTTGTTCCCCATTATCCAGTTCAATTCCCTTGTTCCATAACTTCCATTGCAAATATCTGATTTAAAAAGGGACCTGAATGGTGGACATACATTCCAAATTCTTGTAATTAATTGGAGTTACTAATGTTAAACCGTCTTAATTGCAAGACTTCAAATTAAAATAAAATGACAGATGTATGAGGACCAGGATTGGGAAAGAGAGATCTTCAAGCATATCCAGTTTACTTAAGCTTAAAATCATTGATTAACTTACCGTACTCCATAATGGACATCACGATGATTACAATGACCAGAAACCCCATGGTTATCAAAAGTAATAATCTGAAAAGTAAAGAAATTGGGTATAAGGTCAGCTTACACGGGTAGCACAAAAATTTAGCCACTGAAGGGGTACTCATACAAGCACCAAGAAAGCAAGCATTTAGAGACCCTTGGCATACACAGATTAACAAGAGTTAAAATGGAATCTGCATGTATCTAATGGGAAATGAACAACTAAAATTAGTCCACAGGAACCAAACATCTCACCATGTCAATGCCATGACTAGATACCTCCTCTTCAATGATCTTTGTCAGCAAGTCATGGTTCCAGACTCTGCCAAAACCATCCTACATGTGGACACTGTATCAAAGTATAGAGGCCGCAAGATGAAATTTCAACCAAAATTAGAATATATGGGTTTCCAAGAGCGACTAGGAGTACAACCTGCAAATCTGGATGGTCTAGGACCTTCACCTGTTGAAGTGGGACCTGCATAAGCAGAGATTGGAAGTTCAAGTGGTTCAGGTAAAATGCCGAGAAATTTTTGTTTCTTACATTGTGATGAGGTCTTCAGTTTTTATCATCAACTAATCATTAACATTTCTGAATTCCACCCATGATTATTTTAATATGAGTATCAGATAATGGACTGCAAGTGTGCATAGAAGTTTTGGTTATTTGGATTCCAGATTACAAAATGCATATTTGAAACCATAGATCTTTCTTGTTCCATATTTCTAGTCCACCTTGAGGACTGCACAAGCCTGGTAGAGCTCACGCCTTCTAGTGTCTCCCATACCATCTGCATTGCCTACACAACAAATTACAAAAAACATGTTCTAAAAATCGCAGAATATATAACACCAGGGTGTCATACAGCCTATTTAAGAAATTCATGAAAACATCTACGAACAGAGTCTATGCCCGTTGTTTGGATGAATAGGGAACACAATCGTTTCTGAAATACCCATATTAAAAAGGAAAAGGAAAAATGGCTGAAAGGAAAGGAAAGGAAAAACAGAAAAGAACCAAAAACTTTTGTGCCTTCTAAAGGAAGATGATTACCGGGGACAAGGCAAAACATCTATGCATTAACATTTCTTGCAGTTGAAAATGCAAGCCCCACATGGTTTGCTACTTAAAGTTCTTTAGCAGCAGGATTTACAACTCAGATGCTCACATTAATTGCTCTCAAACTTAGTGAATCTAACTGCCCTAGCAAATAAACATGTAACCTAGATCCTACAATGCTCATTTCATAGATTGCCTTTTAGCCAAAAAAAAATGGACAGGGTAGGAAAAAAAGCAGAATATAGGTTCAGAGATGAGTTCAAAACCAACAAAACAAATTTATTGCTCCCTTTGAAATGTTTGTTTAAAACATTTATATGCATTTATTAAGCAGGGGTATGACAAAACTGTAGTATTCAACTCTTTTCCACTCCGAGTAACATCTAATCAAACTTTTACTCTTCTACCTAGAATGGCTTTGCCTTAATTGAAGCAGACAAAACAAAATAACAGAAAAAAAAAAAAAGCGTCCACATAACAATTTGAATCTTGAAAGATCAACAACTGCAGAGAGTGGGAGACACTTGTTTAATAGAAGCTTTAAAACTTCTCCCTTTCCAGACATAAAGGCCTAGCAATCTTATCAGGGCATAACAAAAATAAGCCAAAGGAAAATCCGGCAGGGTTCTATTTAGAAAAATTCATCTCAGCACAACCTCAATTCCTTGTCCTAAGCATTGCTTAATTATAACTATGGCCGACCCCAATAAACATATTACTCAACATAAGAGAATCCCAAACTAAATCACATAGTAACGAAAGTAACATTACCAATTGACAAGCACAGTACGTAAAACTTATGCCCTCTGGATATCAAATAGTTTATAGTTGGAGAAAAAAACCTGTAAAAAAAAAAGCCACAAAAACTTCTACATAACATTTTTTTTGAAAAAAAAAAAGCAGAAGCAGAAGAAGAAGAAGAAGAAGAAGAAGCATCTTTACATGGACTCATCATCAGGGTGTGCAACAACAAGCAAGACATTTCTCTTGGAGAGAGCTCCACCTGGGTTCAATAAAATCAAAAGGGTGCCATAATCTTAATTAAAGCCATAAACGAGACATTATCAAGAAAAAATGCTTATTACATAGCAAATTTCCACCAACCATCACTCAAAAATGAAGTCTTTGAATATGAACTTGATGATGAGTAAAGAACTTTCCATAAAGAAGCAATCCAAAGTACAATTACTGAAACAACAATCAAAAGCCATCCCATCTTTATAGAGCATTTACCTGTTAAATACAAAAACTTATACATAAAAAATTGAAATGACTACATTTTCAATTTTCTTACTATGAATACAAATGGGTTTTCGTTAAAAAGAACAAAATTTTCATATACGTAGATGAGAATATAAAATAAGTAAGAACTCACGTCGGAATCAATGCCGTTCACCGGTGATCTGGTCCTACGTCTCTGTTTATTGTTTTTGATTGACTGGTTGATGATTCATCACTTGGTCTGTTGCTGGCGACGTGTTAGGTTCTGGTTTGCTTCTTTGCTGTTTTTTTTTTTCCCCAATATACACATATAATTAAAAAAAAAATTGATTTTCGGTTTTAAATCGGACCAGAAATTTCAAAAATCAAACCGAAACCGAAAAATTGGAATATTTCCATTTGAATTAGAAATCAAACCCGAAATTAATATTTTGATTGTTCGATCTTTCGGTTTAAAATGAATAGTAATGGTAATGGATTTGGTTGATGGGCCTTTTTATTAGGGAAAAGTTATTTTGGGCTTTGATTATTAGTTGTGGACTTCTGTGGGTTTATTTATTTTTTTAATTACAATTCTCCTCTCTTTATGGGCTAAAGAATTAATGGCCCAATAGGATATGCTTCGCTTCAGGGATTAGTCAGCATTTATTCATGTATGCTAATCCTTCCAGGCTTGGTTTGGATAACAAGCAGATGGGTTCTCATTTCGGATTCGGATTTTGAAAAAATTATAAGAAAGAAATCTCACGAATATATAAACAGAGTTATCTTGATATTCCTAATTGGTTTTAGAAAACCTCAATTGTCCAAACTAGAAAATATTTTATTTCTTTTTCCAGTTCCAAGTGCACAATAACCTTGATTAGGTAGTTTTATTTCTGGACAGGGGCAGGGAAAGAGATATAACAAAGCATTATATATAAGGAAAAGATATAGTATCCACTGATAAAAATAAATTCATAGTAATTTATATATAGAACAGTTAATATCTATGAAGTAAATTTCAATTGATCGATACTAATATTAAAACTGATTCGATAATATTCTATTAATTATAATATAAATAAAAAATACTTACCAAGCAAACAATTTAGAAGGAAAAAATTGGCATTTATGAGAAGCTGAAGCTGTGCATGTGTGATTCATCTATGCAAATTTGAATTGTGAGTTGTAAATAAAATATAGTGTACTGTACTTTCTTTGCATATATATATATATATATGTGGATGCTATGAACTTTTTTGGATCCAAAGATGCAAATTAATTTCTCGTTGTTCTATAGAATTTATAAAACGTAGATAACTACTTAGAGAGTTTTTTGTATATAAAAACTCAAATTTAAAACCACTTAATTAAACAATTAGAATTTTTTTTCACTCAAATCAACTCTTTTGGATAATATATATAGGTTGTATTTATGTGTTTATATTATAAATATGAGCACGTATTTTTTTAATAATTTTTTAGATTTAAAATAAACCAAAATTTTCTAGGTTCTTAATTCAGCCAATCCAATCTGGTAGAATCGAAGCAACCCTAACCTTTTAAGCGCAAGACTGTTATGTTTTTTGTTCGGACCTTAACCCCTCCCACTATATTATATGTTGCACACATTAGGAAAAAAATAATCTGAATTTCAAAATTATTGGTTGGATTGAGTTAATAAGATTTTTAGGTTATCAAGTATATTGAGGTATTTTCTAAATCGAAATAAGATTATTTTCATAAATCCGAGTATTGATCAGCTAACATAGCATGAGCCAAAATAAGACACTTCACAACTTGTAACATTTCCAAAAAATAACAAATAATAAAAAAAAAAACCATAGTCTTTTCTTCATGCTCGGCTTTTAAACTCTTGCAAATATATTTGATTTAATATACACTATATGTAGATGACTGAACTTAGTATATTTTAATTTTTAACATTAATCCAAAAATATCTTTAATCGAAAAAAAAAAGTTTGTAAAGGAGCAATATATAGATGATAGTCGCCATCGGGTTCATCCAATATTCAATGAGGTAGAAATCCTTCTTTTTTTTTTTTTTAATTACCAATAATGTAAAAATCTAGAAACGAAACAAATAATGGTAAAGCCTTTATGAATGTCCCCATATGCAAATGCGGCAGGCAGGAAGAACAAAGACAAATCAAAATAAAAGGTTAAAGGACAATTTGATTGTGTAAGAAAATAGTTAAAACCATTTGTACAATATGTGACAATCATCGAAAACCTATTCTTTTTGCCGGCTGGACAATTGCATTAACAGCATTGTCTTCTCTTGCCTTATTAAAAAAAGAAAGAAAAGGAGCTTTATAATTAATTATTGCTACTAGCTGGCTAGGCGCCACCCAAGATTACCATGTACATTGATTTTTGGACGATTACATTTTTTAGTATACAAATTTTTAATTTTTTTTCAAACGAATATATAAATTTAATTTTTTTAATTTAAGTGTACTTATTTTTAAAAAATGTCAACCGATAATTTTCATCAATTTTTCTGTTAAGTGATGATGTGTTTATTATGTTTATAATACTATTATAATTTTGTTGTTTTTCTCAATGAAGTATATTAATTTTAATTTTTTCTATTTGAGTATATTAATTTTTTTAAACTATGAATCAAATACTTCTATCAATTATTTTATTAATTAATGAAGTGTTTGAATATCGAATTATATTATTTTTCTTTTTGTTGTAAGGAACTTTCTTCCTAAATTCTTCTACTACTTTAAATTTGGATAAAGAATTAAAACAGATTATTTTTAGTTATAAAATCATGAACTAAACTTAATTAGACTTGTTGTTAAAAAAAAAAAACCCAAGTTAGATTTTTCATCAATAAAATTTATTTGTGTTTTCTTTTAATTTTCACCTCCTAAACCTAACTTTTTTTTTTAACGAGTCCTAACCGAGTTTAATTTAGAATTTATAGATAAAAAATAATTTTTTTAATTTTCTATCAAATTTTGAAATAGTAAAATAATTTAGAAAGAAAGTTTTCTTTTACAAGAGGGTAAAATATAATTTTATATTCGAACATATCATTAATTAATGAAAAGATTGATGAAAGTATTTGATTGACGATTTTGAAAAAATTGATACTCTTATACAAAAAAACTTAAAGTTCAAATACTCAATTTAAAAAAGACTGAAATTATAATTTGATATGATAAGGTAAGATATGTCATTCTGTTAATAAAAAATTGACAAAAATACTTGATTTATGATTTTGAAAAAATTCATATATTCAAATAAAAAAAATTTAAAATTTATATATCCGATTGAAAAAAATTAGAAGTTATTATACTCATAATGCAATTATCCCATTCATGTTTTGTAGCACACCCTGCGCTTCTCTACAGCCCACAAGCACAGGTCATCTAACCCAAGTTGCTTAATCCAAGTTGACTCAAAGCCAATTATTACCATGTGTGATTGATATCTTCATATTTTTGTATTAACAACTACATATTATTTATTGCAAAAGTGGCAGACATATCAGCTGCAATATGAATGAGAAATTAAAGGTATATATATATATATATATATATATATATATATATATATATATATATATTTTTTTTTTTCCTATTCTACGATAACGATGGATATTATTTCTTTTTGATTAATTTGTACACCAACTACTACTAAATTATTTTTTCAAGTGATTTTAAAAATATATTTTCTAACCATAAAGTGAAGCTCGTTGGTAAGCAAGCGTCAATTTATAAATTAAGTCTAAAATTTGATTCTTCTAGTTAATATTTTTAAAAATTTATTCTTAGAATCCCCAAAATCATATATTGAAGAATATCTCTTAACCACATTTAGAGATAAATTAATTTTTAGATGCACAAATGATAATTTGGAGACATGTTTATTGCTGGAAAAAAATAATATCTTCTATATCTCTTTGATACAGTTAAAATTGATAAATTTTCATGAATATTTATTTGAAGATCTAATTAAATTCAAAAGGTATTATATATATATATATATATATATATATATATATATATATATATATATATATTTTATCTTTATCACCATGCAAATCCATGATAAAAAGAAGGTTACCATGTACATTGATTTTTGTACAATTACATTATGAGTACACGAATTTTCAATTTTTTTTTCAATCGAATATATAATTTTAATTTTTTTTATTTGAGTGTACCTATTTTTCAAAACTATCAATCCATAATTTTCATCAATTTTTCTGTTAAGTGATGATGTGTTTATTACCTTCAGAATACTACTATAATTTTGCCGTTTTCTCAATGAAGTACATTAGTTTTAATTTTTTTCATTTGAGTATGCCAAGTTTTTTAAAACTATTAATCAAATACTTCTATCAATTTTTTTATTAATTAAAGACATGTTTTAGTACCAAATTATATTATTTTTCTTTTTGTTGTAAGGAACTTTCTCCCTAAATTATTCTACCATTTTAAATTTTGACAAAGAATTTAAAAAATATTTTTTAGTTATAAAATCCTGAACTAAACTTAATTATACTTGTCGTTAAAAAAAAAAAAAAACTCGGTTAGATTTTGAGCATGAAAATTGAAAAAAACACAAGCGTGAGATTTTTCATCAATAAATTTTATTTGTGTTTTCTTTTAATTTTCACCCTTAAACCCAACTAAGTTTTTTTTTTCTTGTTTTTTAAAACAGCAACCTAACCGAGTTTAATTTATAATTTATAGCTAGAAAATAATATTTTTTAATTTTTTATCAAATTTTGAAACAATAAAATAATTTAGAGAGAAAGTTTTCTTTAACAAAAGGGTAAAATATAATTTTATATTCGAACACATCATTAATTAATGAAAAAATTGATGGAAGTATTTGATTGATAATTTTAAGAAAAAATAATATACTTAAACGAAAAAAATTAAAGTTCATATACTCAATTTAAAGGATGAAATTGTAAATTGATATGATATGGATAATAGACAAGTCATCAATTAATGAAAAATTGATAAAGTATTTGATCGATGATTTTGAAAAAAATTGATGTATTCAAATAAAAAAAATTTAAGTTGATATACTCGGTTGAAAAATATTAAAAGTTATTATATTCATATCGCAATTATATCCCATTCATTTTTGGTAGCACACCCTACACTTCTCTACAGCCAACAAGCACAGGTTATCTAACTCATATTGCTCAATCCAAGTTGACTCAAAGCCAATTATTACCATGTGTGATTGATATCTTCATATTTTTGTATTAACAACTACATATTATTTATTGCAAAAGTGGTATACATAATATGAATGAGAAACTAAAGGTATACATACATACATATATATATATATTTTCTATCCTACGGTAATGATGGATATTATTTTTAATTTGACTAATTTGTACATCAACTAATACTAAATTATTTTTTCAAGTGATTTTAAAAATATATTTTTTAATCATAAGATGATAGTTCATTGATAAACAAACATCAATTTATAGGTTAGGTTCATGCTTTGATTTTTGTGGTCAATATTCTTAAAAATTTATTGTCAAAATATTCAAACTCATGCGTTAGAGAGTGCTTCTTAACCACGCTCGAAGATGGATTAACTTCGAGGTGTGCGAAAATTGATTTGAGGACACGTTTATTGTTGAAAAAAAATTATATCTTCTATATCTATTTGATATAGTTAAACAAATTGATAAATTTTCATGAATATTTATTGGAAGATCTAAATTCAAAAGGTAAAAAAAAAAAAACAATTTTTTTATCTTAATCACCATGCAAATCCATTAGGGTTTACAATGGGTGTGAGAAAGAGACTCATCATGTTAATTAATTTTTTCAATTGTATTAATTTAATTAATAACTCCATCTTGTCCCTCCCTCCTATAATTTGTTGTTCGAAAAGTTTAAGTAAATTATAGTTTGACTTACATCATCACTCACATCAATATTGCCCTAATATTGTTGCCATCCTTTCCAACTTGCCAAATTGAGATTTTTTTTATACATTTTTTTTCCTTTTTTGGGTTGAAAGGCTTGTGTGCACTTGTGGTCCTGAATCTCCATTTCCTGTCCAATCCGATCTTTCTATTCCCTTTTCTTTTTCATCTATTCTTTCCTACTCCATTCAATAATTTCGCTTTTTATCCCATCTACAAAACATTAAATCACTCCCCACCAAACCATGCAAGGAATCAATCAAGAAGTAAGCCCTCGCACTCTAGCTTTCTCTCTTGCTGATCATCTCTTGATTATTTATTAATTGGCATATCGTTCATTTTTTAAGGTCATGTGGCCTACGTCGTCTGTGGCTAACAAGATCTTGAGGAAGATGCTGGGCAGCAATAACATCGTTGCAGACCTTCCAAATTATACAGAGACCATATGTGAGCTAGAAGAAACTTCCAGTACTTCTTCAGATCAAGCTCCGCTCATCAGTTCCAAGAAATACATAACTGATGATCAGGACAAACACAAGTACAAGCTCTCTCCACAAAAATAATTAAGAGTCACTTTATTATCATAATATTTACGGGATTTTCTTTCTTTCTTTCTCAATTCTTTCTATCATAAAGATCATTAATATAGTTATTTTGAGTAGGATCTTTGTTGGTTCATGGAATGTTGGAGGTATTGCACCGCCTGATGATTTGAATATGGAAGACTGGTTATGCACACACACCGACCTTGCTGACATCTACGTTCTTGGGTGAGTTCTTGATATCCAAATGCTGGCTCCAGGATATCGCTAATTAACTGACTCATAATCGCTCAAACTTATTGAAAGATTTGTGCTAAATATATATATATATATATGCATCGGACTTCATGTTTGCTTTTGTTTTTTTATCCCTATTTTAGGGATGAAAAGACAAAGCTGAGACTCGAAACTGAGAACTACAGGCCCAATGGTGTTTGTATTTAATCATGTGGAGTGTCTGTATTTGTAGTGAATAAAACAGTTTATTGTTGTTATCAATCTGATTATATTAAATATTTCAGGTTCCAGGAAGTTGTGCCTCTCAATGCTGGAAATATTGTTCTGGGTTCTGAAAACAGCAAGATTTGCACCAAATGGAATTCTCTTATCAGAGAAGCTCTTAACAATAGTATTTCAAAGCATGTTCCCGAAGATGATAAAGTAGGAGAGTTTCAGAAAGTGCACCCCTTGAAGAATAATAGGAGTATCAATTCTCTTGATAAAAGCAGCAATATTTTTCCACAATACTTTGATTATGTCATAAGCAAGCAAATGGTTGGAATTTTTGTCACTGTTTGGATTAGAAATGATCTCCTTCCATACATACAGCATCCTAGTGTCTCGTGTGTGGGCTGTGGCGTCATGGGCTACCTAGGAAATAAGGTATATATATATATATATATATATAAATATATATATATACACACACACACACATTACGTAGAAAAAAATCCATGCAAAAAGATTTGTATCGGTGTTTGTTTAACTTGAATATGGCTTGTTAATTTGTTATGCAGGGATCGGTCTCGGTTAGGTTTTGCTTGCGTGAAACAAGCTTCTGTTTTGTGTGTAGTCATCTAGCTTCTGGAGGGAAGGAAGGAGATGAAAAGAACAGAAATGCCAACGCTACAGAAATTCTATTACGTACAAGATTTTCTCGTGGCCCTTTGCGCAATTTGCCACGCAAAATTCTTAATCATGAGTACGTATATACAGACATACTTCATCACTTTCTCTTGCACTATTTCTTATCAATTTTTCAGTTTTTCTTTTTTAGGTTACTTCTATTACAGGGGGTGTGAGATGTTGCTTTCATGGCGTATATAATTTCTAGGGGAGCTTAGCATTCTAAATTTATCAGATAAAATAAAGAGTAACTTTAGAAGGGCACTTGCAATATGAAATTTTTTTTATATAAGAAGAAAGAGTCTAGTTGGTTAACACCCAACATGATAATGATTTATATGCTTTATTTGATGGATTTGTGATGATTTCTATTGGTCTGAAGTAATCAAATGATGTAACAAGCTAGCTGGTTAGCTAAGATAGTAATTAATTAAACTCATTTGATCAACATTGAATTCGGCTTACTTGATTGGTTGCTGTATAATTCCAAAAAAAAAAAAAAAAACCCGTCATGATCGATAGATGTATAATATTTATCTCCCTGCGTTAATTGGTCAGAATAATACTCCAGATTACACGCAGATGCAAGTTGAATTCTCAGCCATTTGGTTGGACACAATTTATTTAATTAAATCCAACCGTTCTTAGATGTTTTTTAAAATCAACTAGGCCCAATAATGTCGATTGATTTAGACAGTTTGTTTTCATGTGATTGGTAATTTATTACAAGTTGCATATGTTTAATTTGTTGTCTGTTTAACACTATTTTCTGCTATCCATATGTAGTCAGGTAATTTGGCTTGGAGATTTGAACTACAGGATATACCTGCCTGACACCACAACAAGATCTCTTGTCCAGAAAAAAGAATGGGACATTTTGTTAGAAAACGATCAGGTATATATATATGAATTATAAATCGTGAAAAAGTTGTAGCCTGCAATTATGAGGATGATTAAAGATTAAGCTCATTTGAAAACAAATATTTATATATAGCTTAAGGCCGAGCTTATGGAGGGTCATGTATTCCAAGGTTGGCATGAAGGAATGATCGAATTTGCACCCACTTACAAGTATTATCAGAATTCAAAAGTTTACTATGGCTGCGATCAGAAGAGGAAGGGTAAAAAGAAGCGTGCTCCTGCATGGTAACTTATCTTACTTGATATATCTTTTTTCTAGTCATCTGAAAGAAGATAACTATGCTAAAGAAAGGTGGTGGTTTTGCAGGTGCGATCGAATAATTTGGTTTGGAAAGGGACTGAAGCAGAAAGAATACAGCAGAGGTGAATCTAGATTGTCTGACCACAGACCAGTCCGTGCAATCTTCATAGCAGAAACAGAAGTCCTGAGCAATTCCAGGAGATTAGGAAGCTCCTTTCCAGGCAGATTTGATTGCTTAAGAAGCCATTTTGAAGAGTGTTTCAATGAAAAGTTATCATGTAATGACAGAACACTCTCGCAAGAATAATAGCAGTTACTTCCTATATGCTGTGAAAAATCATGCAAGAGTAAACTAAGAACAGCATATTACAGTATAGTGGCTCCATATATAAATTTCTTCAACGCATCCATATATATATATATATATATATATATATATATATATATATATATATTCTGTAGACGCCCACGTACATGTATACCATCAAACAGTGTATCAGGTCACTGTCAGCTCAGATAAAAAACAAGCATGCAAGTTTAAAAAGATATTAAAAAAAAGTAATGGGACTAGAACCACTAGGTTATATTATAAACAAGGCCTGGAAGAAAAAATCCAACTTCTGTTGTTTTTAAATTAGTAGCAAATTTCAACCACAATTGACAAACTCATGCTGGTAATTAAAAATAAGGGTATTTGTGCATATCTAAGATCAAGAGAACTTAGTCAATCAATCGAACTAAGCTCTACTACGTCCACAAGAAAATCCATGGAACCGCAGCTCAGTAGCTTAACTATTTGATTCTCATACAGTAAGTTTAAAGACAAAATCATGCTTTCTTCAGCTAAACATATGATTTAAGAAGACTTTATGTGTAAGCATACTCCCTTCTGTGACACAACTAATTGAATGAGATTCATTTATAAGATCTATCACGGGACTTGAGATGAATATGAATAGAAGTCAACCCATCATCCATGATACTGTGTGCTTGACTTGCTAAAAATACCAACTTAAACATGACTTTCGTTCAACTTTTTCTTCGTAAAATTTCTGAGAACACTGTATTATAAATATCTGCTGTGCAGCCTCCAAGCATTAGTACTGTATTTAATATGACTTAGCAAAAGTGTATTCGGGCGTGCTTTGCCACCAAAGAAGAAATATAAAATGAATAGAGATGCTAAAACAGTGGAGAACTACCTACCAACTCCACCCATAGACCTACTTCAGTACAGTATATTGTTTAGCACAAACAAGGGAGTTTTCTGTATCCTCAACAATAAAAAGCAACTTTCTTAAAATTCGTATGTCACCAATAATTTATCAAGAGAGTAATTAATCCAAAACAATTTAGCATATGGCCAAAGCTTTCCCACTCCACTATGCAGGGAGTTTTCCAAAAGTGAGATATCTAATATTTTATCACAGCCAAACATATGCTATTCGTCCAAACTAAATGCTTTTTAGATGGAACATAACGTTAATTAAACAAGCAGCAAAATATAAATATGCTTTAGCAAAGAAAAGGAATAAGAAGACAAAAAGGCCTGCATGTTGATATTGATAGTGAACTGCTGTATCTAGGGTTCTCTAGTGCTTAACATGCCTTAAGAGGTATCCAATGAACCGCAAGAACGTAAACATACAGAGTTTTTAAATAATTGCTCCATTAAATTTTCCTCGATATCACTTCATTTCCTCAAAGATGCCAGAGCAATCTTCACCGTTTATTCCATGCCGTCTAGCAAACCTGCTTGAAGTTTATCCATAACCTTGGTCAGTGCATTGTTTTCTAATACGCCCATGATAATAGGAAAACAACCTGCATCTTTTCTTTCTTTTTTCCAAGGCAAAGAACGAGATTTTTAATTTATGGAGCAATTGCAATCCGAATTGAAAAGCAGCAGCTTAATATACCCCATAATATGATTTGACAGCTCCATTTGCCAAAAAAAAAGGCCCCCCAAAAGAACCAACAACATATACAAAATAGAAGAAAACAGCCTGCAGAGCAAATTTTGTAAGGGCAAATCCCAATCCTGATTTTTGCATTTAAACTACTACTCAATATAAGACTAGCAAAAAGTCTTGAGAGACATAGCAGAACAGAAACAAGACATGATAAAAAAAAAAGATTAGAGCCCATATGCATAATAGAAGCCAGGACCACAATAAAATTGCAGAAACCCACAAGGCCCCTTATAATATATAATATTGCGGCGACAATTTTCAAATCTGAGCCCAATCTTTCAAACAACCAATAATGCAGTTGTAATATATCCAAGGAAAGGAAATTCCTACCACAGTAGCCCTCAGAAGAGTAGCATCCACAACAGCATCTAAACAAAGAATAATAGAATAACTTTCAACCTTCAAGCATACAAAACATTAGTTTTAAGAGCACATCTAACCACTCAAATGACACCAACAGGAGAAGCCTTCAGAAAACCAGCAAAAACTCACAATTGTTCACCTTATTATTAGGACAAAAAAAGAAAACTGAATTCAAGGACAGTTCCAATAATCAAGGTATAAAGTGTTACACGCTCCCTCCAACCCATACATTCGGTCCAAATTCTACATGGCTCACTACAACTGACAAATAAAACAATCACTCTCTGATATATACTGCAAAGATTATCAGCACAATTCTTTTCTCTTTGATAAATACGATAGTCAGCACTTTTTGAGCAACCTATCTGGACAATACTTCCTCTATCATAATTTCTCCTCAGTACTTGCCAAAAGAGTGTACTTCCTGGCAGAATCAATCTTCTCCACATAATATCTTTCCACTAGAAATCTTGAACAACCCATCAATCCCCTCCAAAGTTTCATAAAATGATTTAACACTGCACAAGCCTTTCCTATCAAAGCTCCATACCTATCTATCACTCCTAGACTGGCTCAAGTTAATTTATAATCTAAAAATGTTCATTGTTCCAGATCCAAATCAAAACACAAAAAATTCAGTTAAGAGTAAAATTTTGACAAAAGGTTAGATCCCAATTTCATATATCAGAAACCATTGCTTCCTTCCAGTCACCAAATGAGGATCCAGGGCAAGCACCTTAGTTTTATAGTCTCCGAAAAAAACGAAATGCAAACAACTTAAAAATGGTGCCCAAACTTTTGAACAGCAGATTTTGAAATGGTTTTTTTCCCCATTCAAAACAAAGGGCCTCTTTTGCCATGTAGATCAGACCTAGGACAAGATTTGTCCACATTAAGCAAATGAAGAAACAGTAAAAGAAAAGGAAATCCCTTTCCTGTATATTAGCACCAGCATCTAAAGCATGTCACTAAAAGGTTTAAGACCTAAGGCCAAAGTAATGAGGATATGTCAGTGTAACAAAAAGTTCTTTGAGGCTGCACGAACAGACTGAAATTAGGCAATACCAGCTCTCTGATATTTCACTTTAGTGACAACCCGCCAAACATTCTCCCAGACTTCAATATTTTGAGTCACTTCTTAAATACCAGCATACAAATTTTCATTTACTTTCAAGCACCCACGGAATCTGGAAGAGAAACGAATATACTGAATATAACACAAGAATTCAGCACATTGTAAATTCCAGAGATTTACTATTTCAAAGCAGTTATCTATATATCTGGAGACTTTAAAGAAAAACTAGCCAAAAAAAGTAAGGGTGCAAACTTTTTAAAAGATGCCTTTTGAATTGAGATCATACATTCCCCTAACTCCTGGATTGCTGGTGTGCTATACTTCTTGGAAATGACAATGATCTGCCAATATTTTGTTGTATCAAATCAAGCATGAGCATAAGAAAAAACAAGAGAGAAGAGGCTATTCCAATGATGAAACATATGAGAGGCTTTAATATGCAATGGATGGAAAAAAAGAAGACTGGAAGAAAAAAAAAGAGGAAAAAAAGGGAGAGTTATTACAAAAGATAAGGAAATAGATGAAACTAATTACATATTTTATTTAAAATTGTAAGTTAGCGTGCCGATGAAGAAAATATTCCAACAATAAAGAATAGTGGTTTTGTATTCTGATCAAATTTTACTTCATCATATGCGTTTCAATTTAAGTGCTTATTAGGTTAGGCGACTCAAAGACAATATTTAGCCGTGACAATTTTTTATCTACAATATTATCCAGGAGCTTTTTTTTCTGTTCAGATCCCTCTATCTCCCTGTGGTTTCAGAGGATTTTACCACATGATTGACATGATTAACAGCTATACGCACACTTATGCTAAATTTCAAGTGCAATTCTAGAAGTTTGCTTTTGTCATTTCCTAAAAGGAGTCAGAAAGGTACTTTCAGCCAACCTAGCAATTTTTTTTTTTCCATGATAATTTTATTTAAGATAAATTCTGGAAAGGAAATGATTTTGTAACCTTAACAGATTTCAAATAATTCATTTTTGTGTATTTTAGTGAAGTATATCTAAAAATTGGCAAGTGTAGTTCCTAGAAAAATGAGCTCTTGTTTGTGTTTATGCATGAATTTTTCTCTTGTAAGAAAGCCTTGTCTTACTCCGTGAACCTAGTGTTAAATTCAATCATAAAATTAGCCCATTACATCACAGAAACAGTTTTAAATAGAATTGAGTGAACAAAAAGAAACAATTTGGTGATTTATGACCAGCTACCATAATCCTAAGCCCTTACCTTTGAGAAAAAAGAAAAAAAAGAAAAAAGTTCAATTGTGAATTGATGGTGAAGAGCATCATTCATCAGGAAGGTCACGCACAGAATCAAATATAATGATTCTGTACAGTTAGTGTATTCTATTTTTATTTAAGAATAGGAAAGGAGAAGATCATACAAAAAAAGAAAAAAAAAGGTTTAATTCAGAACATACGTCAAGATTATGCTGAATACTCATCTCTGTCCTAATCATCCACTTCCCTGCAGAGGAAAATCAAAATAAATTTTCTTTTATAATAAACAGAAGAGTGAAAAGATTCTTCAATTACAATATATTTACAAGAATGTGTGATTGAACTCAATCTTAAAATTTTTCCCCAATAAACTCCACCAAAAAGATCCTCAAAGATGAAGACTTTTGCATCAGATCAACTGCATATTCCATCATATTTAGCAAAGAAAAGTTCCACCAGTGGAAAAGGTGCATATAAAGCTTCATTTATTGAATGTTTATGTCCATCTTGAAGAAATCAAATTACAAAGATGGAAATGTTCACATTGCATACAAAATAAATAGCAATCCTGCAACAGGACATCATAAGCTCAATGAATGGGCTTGGTAGTACAACTCGTGGACATTACATGCTCTGTTAGGCAAAACCATTTACTAATCAAAGAGAAGCAGTAAGCCACCACCAAAAGCAACAAACTTTAAACAATTTATGATCACAATTTTCAGGAAATGAAAGAGATGGAAATAAAATACACAGTATGCCGCTCTTAGAATCACCTAAAAAAATTAACAAGAAGCCCACAGTAAGTAAAAAGCTTCTAACCTATGACAAGGAACAGAATTCATGTGCCTGTCCTCATTTTTAGAATACTTGTAATGAGAAATCAAAGACGGAACAATCTATCTAACCATCACTACTACAAACTCGACCCATTGGCCTTCAGAGACTTATTTACGAAAGTCTTCTCATTTGAAGGTGATGCAAGAAGTTTTCCAGGAATGCTGTTTAATAGATGGAAAAGCAACACTAGGAAGAAACCAAAAAAAATTGCAATCTGAAAGTTGAGATCCACAGAAAATGTGTCCAGAATGAACAGAGAAATACTGTTGAAGGCAATGAAGCCTGCTAACCTATGAAAGTGCATTTTTTGAATTGTTGAACTGAATCACAGAAACAACACCCTAATTGCAGGGTGGTTTTTACTCTTTACACTAACATTCAACCAAACATACTAGCAATATATTATAGAAATCTTCAATCGCCTGTCTGTTTATTTACAAAGGGTTGTTGCACATAAAAATGTTTGCAACTTGCAAGCGATATCAATAACAACACCAGGAAGAAAGCTTCTTTATCAACCCTGAATTCTCACATGAGCAGAATGGCACAGAGTTTTGAAGTTACAGCATTATTATTCACAGAAAAGAATGTAAAAGTTTGTACCTCTAATGTGGATTTGGCTTCATGGTTGAATGCTTTGCAGAGAATCTCATAATTCTTCTCAAGTCCCATCTGTTCAAGGAAGAAAGCTTCTTATGACAGTTTTTTTTTTTTTGGGGGGGGGGGGGGGATGTTGAGTGGACATAAATTGCTGGTACTGTACATAATGAAGTCAATAATCACATACCAAGGGATCAACTCTGGATGGTGAAATGCTTGATATAGTATATCTGCATCAAAAAGAAATTGACTGATAAACAATCCTAAAAAAACCTCTCTTTTTGGCAGAAATGGTACGGATTGGTGGGAAAAAGGTTAACAGCCTGGGAAGGAAAAAGGTTCCTTGTGGTTGCTAACTGCCATCAGCATTTAAGTATACTCATTACTATTGCATTTATCTAGCAAATGAGTGGAACTCAACTTCTATTCTCAGAGCTAAATGCCACAAAATACAAGGGATCACTAAGATAGCAGTATCACCGAGTAAAAAACATACCTCAGCTTACTTGTGTAGAAATTCATAGCTACTGCATTTGCTTTTTGAACTGTTAGGACCACAGCACCCATGCAGTACTACACAAGATGCAATGACTAAATTAAATCTCAAATACGATGAAGCACAACCATTATCTAGAATAGTTAAAATATGAAGTGCAAAGTAAAGAAACTAGATTTACAGAGATGAGAAGGATTGTTCATATACCTGTATGCTGTTCAATAAAAAAACCTAGAAACATGTGTGTATCTGTATATCTCATTAGTTATTCCCAGCCATTAAAGGGCTACAAGAAAGAGCATTCAGTACCTTGCGAGCAATAAGCTCAATTAGTTGCATAAGGAATTTCCCTAATCCCTTCCCTTGGACACGAGACTCGAGCTGTATTTCATATACATAAAGAACAGGTATCTCTTCCTCAAGAGTAAAGCGATAATGTACAAATCCAACCAAGGGGCTCTTATCTAACTTCATTGACATATCATCAACACTAGCATTTGGGGCCTCATGAACGAATATATAACGCGCTTCTGAAGCAACCATGTCCCTACGCTTCACCTTTTCTTCTGTAGGCCACTCAGGGCCAAACGGCACCTCCATATTGACCTGTAAATTTCAAAAAAGTTGAGCAATGCCACAATGGTACTAACACAGAATCGCCAACTGACATATTTATAGAGCATATGCAAATATTTTGAGGTTGCAGAAACCCAGATTAACAAAAACAATAAGACTCTTAACTCATTTTTACCTTAAGGAGGTTTTGAATGTACTGTTTAACAGAAGAGGTGAGTTTATCCCCACTTCCACACTCCAAAAACACTGACAGACCTAGTAATCAAATCATGACTGGGATTCAGCTTTAAAAAAACATAAAAACTGTAAACAAATGAGCACACCCACAAAACAGAAAGAACCAACTTGCTTTAATCTAATACTAAATAACTACACTAAATCATCCAATTCAATTATCCTAAAAACCAAGTCAAGAAATATATATACACACACACAAGGAACTAAGGATTATACCATTTCTATTGTAATGGCAAAAGGGTGGGAAAGAAATAAGATGGTCCTTCTCAGAAGAAGCTGCTTTTATCAATTCATCAAGTGCCTTCTTCTTTTCCAGTAACTAGTTAAAGAAAGAAAAAACAAGAAAGACAGAAACTTGATTTCTCTAAATCCCTTAAAAGAAAAGAAAGAATGCTTTTTTTTTCTTTTCTTTTCTTTTGTGTTGTTTTTCAGAGATACCTCTCTGCGTTTAGCCTTCTTTTCTCTGCTGATAACAATGTTGCTGTAGCTCGCCAGCCCCCTCGACTCCATTATTTTTCCGCTGCTCTGCTCGAAGCTCTCACTCCACAATCTAATTAACATCTTGGGTAAATTTTATATTTTTCGTAGGGATCCATCCATGTTCCAATTTTACCTCCATAGTTTAAAATTTTCTAATGTTACCCTTATGGTTTTCAAAAAGTTGCAATGTTCCCCTAACTATTGTAGCCGACTTTTTTAATTTAGTTTTATATTTTATATTTTATATTTTATAATATTTTTATGTATTTTTGTGAGATATTAATCTATTATAATTTCGAGAGATTGAGTTAGTGGTAAAAAATGTTTGTTTTAATTTTTTAAATTCTTGGGTTCAAATCTCAAATTACTATTTAAGAAAATTTATTAAATTTCTTCTATTATACCAAACCGATGTAGGAAATCTTATCTTAAAATCACTCAATGAAAGATTTAATTTCGATTATCTATAAACTGATTCAAAAATATCATTATGGTCGAATAAATAAATAAAAATGTACGGGGACCTAAATGAAAATTTGGTTGAAAATTAACGTGCGTATGTATGCATATTTAGTAGCATGTAGTGAAAGGCAAAATTGAAATTTTGAAGAAAACCTAGGTAACAATGGAAAATTTTAAAATAGAGGGATAGAAGGAAAACCCTTAAAACCGAGAAACCTTAAAATCTCTCATATCTTGTCACCGTTCTCTCTCTGTTTTTGTCTGCCTGAAAGAAAGAACAAGAACAATGATTCAGTTCTCGCAAGAATGGAAGTCACAATTTCCAATAGTGACTGTGTCTGAAGCACCGCTCTTACTCTCAAACCCGACATCTAAATCCCTTATTGGTCCACTTATCTTCAACCCAATTCCTGAATCACTAGCGCATCTCTTTACCTCCCCTTCTCTATCTCCTCCTTTTCTAAATCCACCACCCCAACTTTCTCTCTCAAGATTTCTCTCCACTTCAACACTCGCTGACTCTCCTCTCCTTCTCTCTACTACTTCCTCAATTGCCTCTTTTTGTGGCCCTCCAGATAAATACTTTTCTTCTCCTTTGTTAGCTTATAATAGACTCCAGCTACTTAAATGCCCACGTGATGATACTGTTGTTGTGTTTTTTCCAACTGGGACTAATCATGACAGAGTTGGGTTTTTGTTACTTTCTGTTAAAGATAAAAGCTTGGTGGCTACTGGGGATCAAAAGGATGGGATTTTTACTGCTAATAAGAGTTTGGGATCACAAATTGTAAGGATTTTAGTGAACCCAATTAGGGATACTTCTTTTTTGGATGGTAATTTTTCTTTTACAGGTTCTTTTGGTTATTTGTTAGTTTATACTATGTATTCTGTGAATTGGTTTTGTGTTAAATATAGTGAAAGTATGAAAAGGCCTGTTTTGAGTTATTTAGGCTGTAAGAATTTTAAAAGTTGTGGAATTGCGGGTGCTTGTTGGAGTCCTCATATACAAGTTGAGAGTCTGATTTTGTTAGAGAATGGTTCATTGTTTTTGTTTGATTTGGAAGCTAATTGTTCTCATATGTATTTTAGGGGGACTAAGTTGAAAGTTTTGTGGGGTGATGAAGGTAAGTCAGGGGATTGTAAATGGTTAGGGTGTGAGTTTAGTTGGCATTCTATGGTTTGTATTGTTGCGCGTTCTGATGCTGTTTTTTTGGTTGATTGGAGGTTTGGTGAGCTTAATGTGACTTGTTTAGCAAGGATTGATATGTTCAGTGCGTGTGCTCTAAGTAAAAAGGAACAGTTCTTAGCTTTGTCCAGGGCAGCTTCAGATAATGTTCATTTTGCTTTGGTTTCTGAAACTATGTTAGTTGTTTGTGATGTTCGCAAGCCTATGATACCATTGTTGCAATGGGCACATTGTCTTGATAAGCCATGTTTTATTGATGTGTTTAGATTGTCTGATTTAAGGTCTAACTCAAGGGATGACACATATGACTGGGCGAATGCTTCGGGTTTTGGCATTATTTTGGGATCATTTTGGAATTGTGAATTTGGTCTCTTTTGCTATGGACCATCCCTTCCTCCTCGTAAAGGGTCCATTGCCTCGAAAATTTCTGAAGTTTCCAATTGTTTATATGCTTGGGAGCTTCCCTCAGATCTCATGTTATCAGGTGGTGATTGTCAACATGGAGATTGCCATGTAAGAGAACAGTTTTGGAAGGATTCTCTTCCTAAATGGACTGATTGGCAGCAGAAAAAAGACATAGTGTTGGGCTTTGGTGTTTTAAGCAATGATCTCTCTTCATTGTTGTTTGAGCTTGATGAATTCGGTGGTTTTGTTCTAATTAGATTGATGTCATCAGGGAAGCTTGAATCACAGAGATATTGTGCCTCGTGGGAATTGGTTAAAAATTTAGAAGTGGCTCATAGAGATCCAATGCTGCTTTCAGAAGACAACTTACTGTACTTCATTGGTGATGAGAAGTACAAATTCCCTAGAAGGTTTAAGTATTTTGAACTTAACTATCTACATGCATATTTGAATGGCAATCTTTCTCAAGTTCTCAATTCAAACATGGAGAAGGCTTGCGAGTGTTCTCAAGAGAAGGAATCATTTAGTCTGGAGTTTCATGAAGTATTGTGCAAGAAGCTTAAGATTTGTGGGTTCGACCGATTTCGAACATCCCCGGCCATTAGAGTTGCATTTAATGACATAAACTTGCCAACAAGCATCCATGAGCTAGCTTTGAGGAGAATGTGGGCCGAATTGCCAATGGAATTCTTACAACTTTCCTTTTCGAGCTATTCTGAATTTCTTGAATTGGATCAGAAAAAGATTGCTTTGGAATTTTCAGTTGTTCCAGAACTACCTCAATTGCCTCCATTTTTCTTACGGAAGCCTTCAAGCCGCAGCAATAAGTGGTCAAGTAAAGTGCGAATTAGTAATTCCCTTGTGGGTCCAGTCCTTCCTCTCCCTATTTTGGCTACACTCCATGAACTTCGTAATGGCTGCCCAAATTCACAGGAAGAAACAGGCAGGTTTTCATCTGAATCAGAACTTAGCGCTCAATGCAATGAAGCTATGCAGGTGGCGAGGGAAGTGGCTCTGTCAGATTCTACAACCAAGCTTCAGGATGATAATGCTGTCTCCCTTGATGATGACAGAGATGACACTTGGGATCATTCTGAAAAACCAAAGTCCTTCCTTCTATACCATCCATCTGCATGGCAGCGCTCTTTTGAAGTTGACAAAGAGGATAATTGTGTGCATCAGGATGACAATTTTGCTTCCATGATTACAAAAGTGCGCAAGAAACAGTCATCTCGTCCTGAAAAGGGGGAAACTTTCAAACTAGAATTCTTTGATGATTTGTGCCCCATCGACTTGAAATTTGATGCTCGTGAATTGGAATTTAGCTTACAAGAGACCAAAATTTCTAGTCTATTGAAGAAGAATTTTTCAAAATGGCAAGAGGAATTCACCCCTTATCGGGAATTTTGTTCCCAATTTACATCCCCTCGTGACAAGGTGGCCTGATTTAAGATTTTTATTAATTTGCAATTTGTACTGCTTATCCCTTCAATTATGAAAGTTTAAGTGTTTTGAACTTAACTATCTACATGCATATTTGAATGGCAATCTTTCTCAAGTTCATCCTTTCCCCTTTAATTTTACTTTTCCAGCTAATGATTACATACTGCTAAAGTTATTGTATACTTTTTTTGTTTTTTCAAGGGCTGGTTGTTCTCATGCCTGGTCTGATGAACACTGGTTTGTGATCTGTGCATAATGCTCCACTTGAAAGTCATGTTCTGTGGTGTTTTGTAGTTTGGTAATTTTCTCACAATTCCATTATTTACAAACAGTGGGAGAGCAGTGATTTTGCAAAGCAGCTGAACTGAAGTCGCATTGGTTCAAGGCCTTGAATATCGAGAACCATTTTTCCACTTTGATTTCATGTTCTTCTGATACTTGACTTGTGCAATCCTCGAGGTGATTGTGAAAGCGGGAAAGAAAAAGGTCCATGGATGAAATCTGCTCGTACTAATCCCAAATTTTTACAAGTCAGTTCAATATTCTTTTTTGTCTTAACCGATCAAGGATTGGATTTCAGAAACGTTTATTTTAACTGATGGTAAAACCTGAAAAACACACATTTTAAGATAAAATAGTTGTCAAAACATTTTTTTTACTGAACCTGCCTTTTTGGTTGTTTAACCTACGATATTTGCACATGAAGGTTGCTGTTCAACAGGTGAGGTTTCTGGACTATCCATATATGCAGGTTGTACACCTGGTGTTGGAAGCCATGGTTGTAGTTGAAAATATCATGTTGAGGCATCTATACTTTGACATAGTATCAATTTGTAAGATGGTTTTGGCCCAGTTTGGGACTTTTAACTTATTTATGAGGAGGTATCTATTTAGTCATGGCATTGACGTAGCAAGATGTTCAGTTCCTCTAAACTCTTCAAGTTGTACATTCCCCCCAATTAGTTTATGAAGTATCAATTCCAAGGCTTGTAAATCTATAAATGCTATAGGGATAGAAAATTCCTTGCATGACTATCTTGTTGCTTCTTCGAATACTCTTTCAACGTTTACTTCTTGTGTCGATCTTGTACTTAATTCCAGTTTATTTTCAGATAATTACTTTTGATTACTGTAGGGTTTCAGGTCACCGGATGACTTGTTCATTTGTAATCCCGACCCTCTTGATAAAAGACTTTGGAATAGAACCTGCTTTCTCAATTTTGGGAAACTGTATTACCTATCTGCTTAGTTACACCTGCCTGGACAAGGATTGCCTTATTTATATAGTTGATGCTAAGTTATTTGGTTCTGCCTTGTTCTTGAACTTCAAATTTATAGCTCTTCGTTGTTGTTGTTATGCTAAATATTGTGAGAGCTCCTTCTGCCGTTTGGTATGACTATATTCTTATAATTCTTACGATAAAAACCGTTTAGCTTTATCTCTTACATCATATTAGTACCGACTTCATGATGCATGTCCTTTCGGTTTATCTAATAGGCAAAGATGTTTTAACTATAACTTTTGATATATTTTGTCCAAATTTTCTTTGCCTAGTTTTGTTAATAATTGCTTATGATTTATTCGCCTTGATTATACATTTTTTTGGTTTTATGTATCATGTCATTGAAAATATTCAGCTCTCAACAAACTAAATAAAAAAGATATTACCACATAATTATTAATTGCATATTTGGATATTAGAGTCAATTAAAATTTCATTTTTATTTTTTTTTCAGTTTGATTTCAATATAGTTCTAAAATTTGTACCATAGCTATTGAGTTTATTTTTTGTATATCGTTGCTCACTAGAACAACTACGATAGGAAAAAAATAAACTATTTATAAATAATTATAGTTGGAAAAAATGAACTCATTCTATTGAATTTTTGTTGTTTTTAAGTCAATCGGTTTTAGTAACTACTAAAGCAGTTGGAGATTTGCACATATATGTATTTTATTTATTTATTTGTTATTTTAATGTTGTTTTGATATTTTTGATGTATTAAAAGTGATGTGGTCTGTTGTAATAAATTAAATATAACCTCTTTTTTTGGTAATATTTATGTTATTATTATTTTGCCTCATTGATGTAGATTTATTTTGATACATGTGAAAATATTTAATGTTTATCATTAAAGCACACGAGACTTGTTTAAAAATAGATTCAACGAGAGTTTTCTTCTCTAAAATTAACCAAGAATATTGGTTTTCTAGTCGGTTATCTCGTGCAATATTGCAAATAAAATATAATAAAATTATTTTAATTTGATAGTTCATGATATGTTATAGGTCTATCAAAATATATCAAATTAAAGATTAAAAAAAAAACCTCAATTTTTAATTTTTTTAAACAAAATCTGATATTTAAATAATTCTTTCTTATGTTTTATATAGATTTTATACTTAAAAATATATTATTCATTTTTTCTCTATGTTTTGATTCTTAAATAAAAATTTGTAATAATTTATATTGAAATTTTAATTCAAAATTAAAAAAAAATGCATTAAGAATATACTTTCATAAGATTGCATGAAAAAATAAAACTACAATTAATGTATGAACTTATATGAAAATTAATACATAATGATTTTTAAAAAAAATTTAAATTTTCAAAATAAATTAAATAAAGCTACATAAAGATTTTAAAATTTTGAAAAAAAATAATATAAAAAAATTAAATTAAATTAATAAAAACTTCAAGCACGGTGCAGCGCATTTGAGCCTCAAGGACTACGCCTGCGCCCCACGCTTCAAAGGAAAAAAAACCACACTTCACATGAAAAAAAGAAGAGAGAAGCCGATTGCAATTTCTGAAGAACTATGGTTTGCAAGCAAATCGAGCTTAGAATTTCCGATCTTCCAAACCCAAACTCAGCCCTATTTTTATCTTTAAAACACCTTCAAATCACATAAACAACATCAAAAAACATGTTTAGACCTCAAAAGTACTCATTTTAATACAAAAGATAAACAAAAATTCAAATCAAAATATTTTAAATTATCAATCTATCTCTTTTCAACTATTTTATGGCTTGTGGCTGCCATAAATGGATTCTATTCTTCAATATGAATAAAATAGTGATGAGTTTGACAATTGAGTTGGTAGAAACGAACCTTGTCGTCCCCTCTCTCTCTTTGTTCTTTTCTCCTTCAAGTTGTTTGGGACCAACATGCAATACAAACAAAGTTCGAAATCGAAAAAAAAGTTTTTTTAAAAAATAAGGACCAAAGTGCAAAATGTTGAGCAAACTTAATTGTAAACTATAAAATACACCTTGTGTAAACGAGCAAAGGTGAACATTGCGAATGAGTGTATGCGAAACGTGAAAGTAATAGTGAATTATATATTTTAGTTTTATTTATAAAATGTAAAATAATGGAGTTAAACATTATGTAATAAAGGAAAAAATTATAATAATTTAATAAAAAATAAATAAAATAATCAATTATAATAGTTATTTTATTCTTAAAAAACTATTGTACAAAGTTATATTCTCGAATTTTTAAGAAAAACATGTGGGCTGGCTGTGGCAGAATCCTATCCTCTTAAACATGAAGGTATAAAATGCCGCTAGTATCCAGTTCTGCGCAGAATTATCACCAGGAGGATTTTAAAGAATAGAACTGGGGGGAATTGTTCTATGGCTTAATTACTTAAAACTTAAATTGGGCTTATTTTGCATTATTTGTTCTGTTGTGGGCCGAAGATATATATGATCCTCATAAATTCAACATAAACAAGCTGAAGAACAATATATATATATATATATATAGAATTGAATGGAACCGAAGAATTAGAAACAAAACCCTAAAATATTATTCTCTCGTGAGGCTTGGATTGTGTGTGGCATATGATTAAGTATTCTGTATTTTAAGATTGTGATACCTGGTTATCTGTAATTTTTTGCATAATTACTTGGATCAACTTGCATAATTGTTTTCTAGGAAATTTGAAACAGTCCAAGATGTCCATATATTTTTACGACGAAACTCTCCATTCACAAGTTTTGGAGGTAGTGGAAGACACATAGCATTGCCGTCAGTCTGTGTTTAAATCATCTTCTTCAGCGTATTTTTTATTTCCTGGTATTTTTAAAGTAATGGTTTTAACCGTATGCTTGAAGAATGATTTGGTTCATGGAGGGGGATTGGATTTTGCTCTGAGAAGATGTGTGGAGGTCGGTGGTTTTCGTCAATGTTCGGTCAGTATAACACTACCAAGAATTTTGATCTTAAACATCACGAATTGAACAAATTAGTCACACATGTTTTTCAAAATTTTGACGTATTTCCATTTCATGCATGGAGTGCAAAGTGCTGCAAAAAAATGACTGAGCAGAGCTGGCTCTTAAAACTCACCCGAAACCGATTTGACATATGTGGATAAAGGGAAGAACAATAGAACCCTTAAAAGTTACAAAGCCATGAACTAAATGGCCAGCCATCCCTGAGAGACATGCAGATAATCCCAACTTCTCATAATTAGATTGAACTCAGCATTATAGTTAACTTCCATTCTCGTGACCGATCAATCCACCATAGATTTGATTTTATTGGAGGATAACCGATGAGGTTGTGATCCTCGGATTAATGTTAATGGTTGAATGATTTTTAATCCAGACTGATCATCAATAAAAAGTATCTGTAAAACAACATATAAAAAGAAATGTTTAGCCTAAATATACTTAATTATATTTAGCTTATAGTGCGAGAAGATATGTGGTTTTATATCTGTTTTTGACCTTAAAAGGCAGAGCCTGTAACATTGGGTGTATTAACTAGGTAGAGATGCAATCAACTTGAACGGAGTGGGAGTAAAGTGGTTTCTTTCCTTGTGTTCAACGGCTCTTAACATCCATTTGAAGGTTTAGGATTCTTTTAGACGAATGTCATTGTCTAATGAAGTATGTGCAGTTATATTTGATGATGGTGTGATACGAACATTCCAAGAAGCCACGTTTTCATTAAATATATGCTATTTTTATATAACTAGTGGAAGGAGTGATTTCTTTTTTGTTCAGGTTATTCATTCATATCAGTTGTCCAAACTGTACCTAGTTATGAGACCCTCAGAATTATCCTATTTATGGCAAATTCTTGTCCGGGTGATTTTTTAGTAGAACAAAAGAATACGTTTCATGATTGTAATCGTGTGGATATATTAGAAATGTGAACATTTTAACCTGGCAAAGCCAAGTCACAAAAAACAAAAATAATACTAGGACTGAATCAGCCATTGCAGGTCCAATCAAACCATCCGAAAAAACGCAAGTTAAACCAAAACATATAAGTAGAGATTCTATCATTTCTGTTGTAATGAAATAAGGGCAGGAAAGAGATGAGATGATCCTTATAAGCAGGAGCAGTTTTTATCAGTTCACCATCTGCCTTCTTATTTTCCAGTATCTACACACCCAGAAAAAGAAAAGGAAGGATTTTATATATATGTCAAAATACATTTTACAAACAAGACTGTTAATTTGGTTTATTTCTCATTTTCTCGATACCTCTCTATGTTTATCCTTATTTTCTCAGATGACTACGATGTTGCAGCTGCTAAGGAGCGCCTCGCTTCATTGTTTTTCTGCTGCTGAGCTGAGGACTTTTTGCTTTGCTCTCCAAGATTTGCTGAATTAAAGCTTAGAAACATTACAGATTTAGATTGAGCTCAAAATCCTCTAGAACCCAGACCAAAGATTTTAAACAAGAGCAGCTCAAATTCCTTCATATAGTGCCATTGAAATTCATAATTTCATCTGAATATAATTCCCAACTAAGTTTGCATTTAAATATGCAAACTACGTTTCATCATTGTTAGCCAAAAAATAAACAGAAATTGAAACTTAAGGTCCCAAAGCAAAGCAAGGTTTGGCAGCTAAAATTCAGAATAATGTTAGCAGCAGACTAAGGAGTAAGGATATACAATAATGCATAGACCACAAAAGGAAAGAAATTAAGATTCGCGAGAGCGAAAAAGGGCTTTTCAATAATCTTTTAATTTGGCCATTTTACAATTTTTCGCTTCCCCTCCTGGGGGAGTGCAAATATACAACTGCAATTATCCTCTTCATGCCTACAAAATTATCTAACTACCTCTTGTGGTGCTCAAAAGGGAAAATAGTTGACTGTACATCTATAAGTCCAGCGTCACCAATAACCTCTGCAGGAGCAAGAACCTTTCTTGAAATGATGGAAGCGGCTTGAGTCTCTCAATATGATTTCATGGTCAATGATCATGGATATGTAGGTAATGGCATCGTGGCAATCTCCGCAGACACGTAAGTTCTTTGTGATTCGGATGGGAGCTCCTGGAGCTGATATTAGAATGCCATAGGCAAGGGCCAACTTCTCGCTATGCTCAAATAGAAGATCATCTTTCTCTTCATCGTCCACGTCATGAAGTGCAAAGCTGGTTTCTGGAACATATCCAAGGACTTTAATCCGTTGAATCAAGCCTCTAAGGATTTCATATATCTGCTTCGACTGTGGATGAGTCTTGTCGGCAACATAGAAGGTTGCGGTGCCTTTCTTTCCTTGGACCCAACTGCAACCAGGTCTCTTCTTAGTTCCAGTATTTTTCATCAAAGATCTGATCCTAGCCACATCTTTCCAGCGCCTGGCATTGGCATATATGTTTGAAAGCAGTGTATAAGATCCATCATTATCTGAGTCCAATTCCAACAGTTTCTTTGCAGCATATTCCCCTAATCCCACATTTGCATGGATCCTGCAGCCACTAAGCAATGCCACCCACACTACTGGGCTTGGTTCCATAGGCATGCCTTCAATGAGCTCCATAGCTTCATTTAAGCGACCAGCACGTCCCAGTAGGTCAACCATGCAAGCATAGTGTTCTTGCCCAGGAACAACCCCAAATTCCTTGCTCATGCTGTTAAAGAATTTAATCCCCTGATCAATCATTCCTGAATGGCTGCAAGCATAGAGCACAACAAGCAATGTTACACCATCAGGCTGAAGACCCAATCGCCTCATCTCATCAAAAACCTCAAGAGCTTCTCCACCACGGCCATGTATACCATAACCTGTCATCAGGGATGTCCAAGAAACAAAATTCCTCTGCTTTAAATTGTCAAACACAACTCTGGCAGCATCAATATCTCCAGATTTCACATACATATCTATGAGACAATTGGCCACATAAAGAAAGGCAGAGTCATAATGGTTGCGTAATACATAAGCATGAATTTGTCTACCAAGCCTCAATGCAGCCAAACGAGCACATGCCATCAAGGCACAAGATATAGTGAAGGAATTTGGCTTTAGTAATCTATCCTGTTTGAGCATCCGGGAAAACAATTCTAATGCAACATTGGCTTCACCATGCTGGGCATATCCTCCAATGATAACAGTCCAACTCACCACATCTCTATCCTTTGGTGCTATGGAATCAAACATGGCGTGTGCCACATCGATACTTTTGCACTTCGCATACACATCAATTAGAGCATTAATCACCATAAGATCGTCCTCAAGATCACTCCCCTCAAAGTTCAACATGCATTTTATGGCATAACAATGAGTCTCCTTCCCATGAAGCAATGCTCCAACCGAAGCACAACCAGAAAGAAGAGACACCAGGGTAATCTCATTTGGCTTCGACCCACAACCTTGCATTTCCCTAAACACATCCAACGTTGCACACCCAAGTCCTCTCTGTGCATACCCTGCAATAACAGCACTCCAAGATACAACATTCAACTCAATATTCTCCTCCCTCATCTTCTGAAACAAACCAAGAGCATCCTCGAACCTACCAATCTGAGAATACCCAGTAACCATAGCATTCCAAGAAACCACATCCTTCTCCCTAATCCTCTCAAAAACCTTGCTTGCCTCATCCACCATTCCACACTTCGCATACATATCCACCAATGCATTACCCACAAACAAATCCTCAAACAACCCGCTCCTCACGGCGAAACCATGCACCTCCTTACCACACAGCCAGGCACCCATCAACGCGCAAGCAGGAAGCAGATTCACAAGACTAACAACATCCGGCCTAATATCAAAATCACCCAATTTACACATTCTATCAAACAGCCTCAACGCATTCTTACAATCCCCTCTTTGCACATAAACTCCCACGATCGAATTCCATGAAACCAAATCAAACACCCTTCTGCCACACATTTCATCAAACAATTGGCGTGCACAGTCCAATTCACCGGACCGTCCGTACATAGCTACAATAGCATTACATACAAACACATTAGACTCAAATCCAGTTGAAAAAACAACACCATGAATCGAAGCACCGATTCTACAACACAATAAATCCCCACAAGCCTTAAAAACCAAAGGAAAAGTATAATTATCAGGAGACCAGCCAAGTCTCCACATGTTACGGAAAAGAGCAAGGGAACGGTTCAAAAGTCCGGGTCGGATGGAACCGCGAATGAGTGCATTCCAAAAGTAGACGGAGGAAGGAGAGGGGGTGAGGTTTTGGAGGAGGGAGAGGGCATGGGAAGGAGAATTGAGAGCAATGTAAGTGGAAATGAGATTGGTGGAGAAATTGGTTATTAAGCCTTGGACAAGTGTTTGTTGGTGGATGAGGTTCACCTGAGCAATTGAATTGCATTGTTTGAGAAGTGTAGGAGTGATTAAGGGAGGAGTTATTGATGTAGAGGAGGAGAAACGGCGGCTGTGGTGGAGGAGCATGCGTCGGAGGGGCATGCTAGTGTAGTTGCGGCGGGAAATTCCATTGTCTTTGAAGTTCTGAAGTTACTAAGCTGAATATTTTTTCAGTTAATTATAACTTAGTCCCTTTGGTTTATTAACAATAATTGATTAGCCCACGTAGTTTGATAAATAAATTAATAATCCTTTGACCGATGCTGACCATCTTCAATTGGTAGTTTTTTGTTTTTTGTTTTTTTTTAAACCTTCTTTTGTTGTTAAAATTTCTCAATCTTACCAACTTCTCTTTCCTTTTTCTATTTTTCAAGAAAGATAAATTAAATTGAAAAAAAAGTAAAATTGATTAAAAATACTAAATTACAAATAAATCTAAAAATATAAGAATAATTTATTAAACTATGGTGACTAACTATTAGCTTTGTTACAAGACTAAGTTATGATTTACTCGTAATTTTTTCATTTATATATATATAATGTAATGCATCAACATTTAGATTTTTTTTTTTTTGTATTTTATTTATTTAATAAAGTCTTCTTTTCACAAAAAAAAAAAAAAAATTGAAGATGTAAGGAAATAATTTACTTTCACCTTTTTAATTTTTATTAAAAAAAAAAAAGATTACACTCAATATCCATCATGCGTGGAGTCATCAACAATTGTCAAACTCTTCTCATTTTATCCAAACAAATTTTTTCCTACTTTTATTTTTTGATTATGACTCTAGTCACCTTGATTCACATTGAAATATAATATCATTACGTTAAATTTCATGTTTTGTACTAGTTGATATGAGATAATCATCTAATTACGAAGTGATGATAAATCGATATCTAATAACAATTTATTATACAAGTAAAATAAATCAAATAATTTAATAATATTCTCAATTAATAATATCTTTGTCATTACAACTTTAACTTTATTACATAGACAAATCAAAATCAACATACCGAATAAATTAATAGCTAGAAAGAAATAAAAACAAATCAATTGAATTAGTCAAACAAAATCACAAAATCAGCCAAAACAACTTAGTAATATAACCAATTAACCAAACATTCTCAATCAACTAAAATACCTTGCTTTAATGATAGAGTAATGAAAGAGCTTACGTTTATTTTGAGTTAGTCACAATTATTAATGATTTGATACAATGTGTGACAAGGAAACTTTTGTTTTTGTTATTGTTTCTTTTTTTATTGCAAAAGAAAAGTTTGAAGTCAAGATTTTTTGTTTCTTTTCAATATTGGTAGATAGTTAACATACAATATGGGACAAGAAAACTTTTTATTTATTTATTATTATTACCTAAGAAAAGTTTGAACTCAATATATATATATCATCGTTTATATATTTTTTTATTGTATTAATTTAATAAAGTTTTCTCTTCATAAAAAAATCGAAGATATAAAGAAATAGTTTACTTTCACCTCTTTAATTTCTATTAACAAAAAACAATTAGATTACACGCAACATCCATTATGCGCTTGGAGCCATGACCAATTGTCAAACTCTTCTCATTTTATCCAAACAATCTTACATTAGTCAACTCGATCCATGCTGGAATGTCATATCACTGTGTTAAATTTTACTTTTCGTACTAGTTGATATGCAATAATCATTTAATTACGGAGTCATGATAAATCAATATTTAATAACAATTCGTTGTACAGTAAAGTAAATCAAATAATTTAATAATATTTTTAATTAATAATATATTTGGCATTACAACTTTAGTTTTATTATACAAACAAATTAAAATCAACATACCGAATAAATTTGGCAATATAATCAATTAACAATGTCTTTGTCGTTACAATATTCACTTTGTTATACAAAAAAATCAAATCAACCGATCGAATAAATTAATTGTTATGAAAAATTAAAAACAAATCCATTGAATCAGTGAAACATAACAAGCAAAATCACAAAATCAATCAAAACAACTTAGTAACATAACCAATTAATCAAAGAACGTTCTCAGTCAATTGAAGATAAAAACATATCAGGTAAAGTGATAGTTTATATATATAGTTGAATTCATTGTTCTCTAGCTATTGCAACCATCTAAAATAGCTTGCTTTACTGATAGAGTAATGAAAGAGCTTACGTGTATTTTGAGTTAGTCACAATTATTAATAGATATGATACAATGTCTGACAAGGAAACTTTTGTTTTTGTTTTTTTTTTTTTTTATTACAAAAGAAAAGTTTGAACTCAAAATCTTTTTGTTTCAGTATTAAAGAATCATCTCACCTAAAAGCTTAAGTCGATAGATGAGGTCTTAGAATATAATTTATACTAGTCTCTAACACACCCCTCAAGTGAAAGGTCCAACATTTGAGCATGAAACTTGCACATATCTATATTATCTTGTGCTTAATACTCGAGAAATTGGGAATGATGAGACTCGAACTCGGGACCTCAAGATCAACTAAGCTCGGATACCATATTAAAGGACTATCTCATCTAAAAGCTTAAGCTAATAAGTGAGATCCTATAATATAATTTATAATAATCTCTAACAAGTATACACCGTGGGACAAGAAAACTTTTTATTTATTTATTATTATTACATATAAAAAAAGGTTGAATTCAATATATAATATATATAAAAAGAAAAGTAGTAAATTAAAAACAGAGTAATCCATCTCCAGCTACCTAGTGCTATCCTATCAAAGTAGGAAGGTGCTGGACCCATGATTCTTTCTATGTAATACGTTTCTTGCATGTAATAGGCTGTAGCCGTTCATTTGCACATCTCGCCAATGATCGACAACAGAACCAAAACTGTCCTCCCTCGTGATTCCCAGGTACTGGTCCGTTTGTTAAACTCAATATTATCCACAAATAATAAAACAAAACATGAGCCACTTTGAGTGGGCCAAACATTGGGCTGAGCTCAAACTTTATATATATATATATATATATATTATCCATTATTTCTTTGCCTTCCACCTTCTAGTGTAAAAAGTAATTCTAATTCGAGTTATCCTGAAAAAAATTATTAATGCTCCAAATGAAATGACAAAAGATAAAATTTTTATGAGATTTATAAAAGATGATTTTTTTCATTTCAAAAGCTAATAATTTGTTTATGCTGGTAAATGTTAATATTTTTTAAAAATAATAATTAATTTAGAAAATCCCTTTGGTTAAGCTAAAAAGAAGAAATAATGAGCGTAATTTAGAATTATGGCTTGAAAATATGCTATTTATGGATATTTAGAATATCAATCAATTAGTTTTTCAAATTTAAGCTTATATACATATTCAGTGCAAATATGTTGACCGTACGAAGCAATAAATATATTATATATCTTTTACATTTGCATATATTTTTCAAAATAATTCCACTATACGTAGATGGATAAAGACTAAAACTTAAGGTATATACAAAAGCAGCGTTAATCAGACATAAATAAACTAATCTGTTTTTAAAAGATTAGAAAAGATAAATTTAACTTTCCATATACAAAAATTGGGAAAATCCAAAGCGGAAAATTTCTTCAACCAGACCCAAATTTCATTTTCCTTTTCTGTACCCAAATTGAAATTGACCCTTGGCCCATGCGACAGGAGCGGAAATTTTCAGAAACAAAACTGAGGATAAATTGGTCATTCAGCAAAACATTACTTGTCCTTACACACAACAACAACAACAACAACACGTCAACCCCACCACATAAATAAATAAATCAACAAGCAGATAAAAACTTCCATAATTCTCACAAGTAAAAAAATCCAATTATAAAAAAACAAATAATAATAATAAAAACAAATCCCTCTCTCTCTCTCTCTCTCTCTCTCTCTCCCTTTCCTCCTCTCCCTCTCTAAAGCTATATATAAATATTTTCAGTACTGCTTGCTGCACTAAAAGTCCTCATTGTGACTATCGAAACGACGACGCTGTGCCATGGCTTCTCAAGGAAAGAAACTCATTAACGACCCCAACGGTTGGCTCTTTTCTCTCGCTTTTTTTCATTATTTTAATTTTTGTTAATGTGATTGCTTCTTTGCGATCGTTGTTTGTGTTTGGTTGTTGAGAAAGTGAAAAGAAAAAAATTAATTAAACCTTTTTTTTTGACGTATTTGTTATTTGTGTTGCGTATTAAAGGAGCCGCTGTTAATCTTGGAATTTATTGATTTTTGTTCACATTTCTATGTTGATTGTATGTTTGATTGCCGAGAAAATTCAAGAAAAGGAAAGAAAGAAGGACTATAGATTTTTTTATTTTTTATTTTATATATAAAAAGACTATAGAGTTTCGAGTATTTCTTTTATGGTGCATTGTGTTCTTTATTTTTAGTTAGTGAACTAAATGTGAAATAAATTTCGTTAAAATGAAGGTGGATTTCGGAAATTAGGTGTGGTTGACCTTTAGGTTGGTTTCATGTTTTGTTTAACTCTATTAATGGATTTAAAATAATAATAATAATAAATCGTGTTTGTTAATTTGTGAAAATTTCTAATTGAGGATTAATTGAAATAAATTTTTTTATTGCAGATGTAGTAACTGAGTTCATTGAGGGTCTTGTGGAAACCTACCCTGGATTACAGTACCTGGACGGCTTTCCAGAGGTGTTTTTTTTTTTTTTTTAAAAAATAATGTTTATTTAAAATTTTGGAAGTGCCCGTAAATAAATTAGAATTGGTGGTGAATTGTGATGTTTTCCTTATTATGGAGATGCAGGTCAAGGTTGTTTTACGTGCTGATTATGCCAGTGCAATGCTTGACAAAGTTGCGATTATATCAGGTTTGTGGTGCTGGAAATTATTTGGATATGTCAGTGTTTAGTATTTTTGCTATTGAAACTAGGAAAATTTTTATTGTGTGCCTCTTGTTACATGTGTGTCGTTGTTCATTTTTCTGATGTTGTTATAGTATAAAAAAGAAATGGTGAATTGTAAAGCTGTGTTTTGATGACCAACAAGCTTTGGCACTGGGTTGGTATGGTACTAAATGTTCCTTTGTGATTTGAAAAGAAAATGATGGTATTGTATTTATTTTTCTATGCCCAGGCTGGATAATTTGCTTTTATATGTTTTTTTTTTCCAACATGTTGATGCACATGTGTTGGTGGTTTTACTTGTTCCTGAAAGAGTTGTGACTGGATGGTTTGCTATTTGCATTATTTGGCTGGAGTGAATTGTTACCCCATGGAACTGTTTCCTTTTTTCCTTAATATTTTTGTATAACAGCTCATCTACACACACACACAGAGCAAATGATTCTTGGTCCTATTTTTCCCAATTTCCCATAATACTGTCTGACACACATAAATATTTTGTTTATTTGTGTGTTTGTGGCTTGCCTCATCAACAAACCAAACACCTTGAACCCCAACCTACTTAATATTGGGTCATATTGTTGAGTAAGATATATTGATTCCTTTCAAAAGATTCTTGGAGTGGCACATTTTCTTTCAAAATTTCCTATTGAAAGTTTAACAAACAGATAGGAGCGAGCATAAAAAGGTCCAACTCACAAGAAAGCTGAATGAGATGCGAGATGCATGACAAAGAGGAAAAAGAAAACATGTGTAATTGTTGTGATATGGCATTGAATGATGCTAAATGATAGAACTTAAGGATTGTGCAAGTAATATGTGAATGCTATGCTTTCATATGATACAGGAGGAGGAAGTGGACATGAACCTGCCAATGCTGGATTTGTCGGAGAAGGGATGCTAAGTGCTGCTATTTGTGGAGACATTTTTCTTCTCCCCAAGTTGATGCAATTCTAGCTGTATGGTTTCTTTCTATTTAATTTTTTGTTGGAAACAGTTTCTATCACTTTATGAATTATGTACCTCATCCTCTTCTTAGATGGCTTTGCTCTAATGTAATTCAACTTTAGGGCATCCGAGCTGTAACTGGTCCGATGGGATGTCTTCTGATCGTCACGGTATTGATATCTCAAAACTAATTAGTTAATAGTTTCAAATTATTTGGGTGTGGCAAAATCTCATTCAGACACCTAAAAAAGGAAATAAAAAGAAAGAAAGAAAGAAAGAAGGGGAGAAGAAAAAATGGACAAAATGAAACTTGGAAAAAAGGGACAATGAACTCTGCAATTTTTTTTTTTCTCAATTTCTTAAGTCTACGAACAATATTTGGTTGTCAGATTAATTTCTGGATTTATAGTTTGTATTTGGGATGTTGACAGAACTATACTGGTGATCGTCTAAATTTTGGTTTGGCTGCTGAGCAAGCAAAATCTGAAGGTTATAAAGTAGAGGTACCTTTCTTAACTGAACTCCTTGTTTCTGCTACATAGCTAGAGAGAATATCCAAATATAATCATATTGCTTTTGCAGACTGTAATTGTTGGAGATGATTGTGCTTTACCTCCACCACGAGGCATAGTTGGGCGAAGAGGGTTGGCAGGGACTATTCTTGTTCATAAGGTTCTCTCTTAAACAAATGCATGTGCACACACATACACACAACCTAAGGTTGATAGCAAATGCATGTGACACACATACACACAACCTAAGGTTGATAGCATGTGAATTCATCTTACACACTTTTGGTTCTGTTTCTTTTTTTTTTTATTATTTCTTTTGATCTTCTCCCTCCTCCTTTTGCTTCTTTCTGCAAATTTAGTAATTAGCTTAGGTATTCTCTTGCCATTTTCTTTTTATAAATGATTAATTTAATCATAACTTCTATCAAATAATTTCATAGTTGCATTAGGTTATCTGGTTACTAATTTCATATGAAGTTTGACCACTATTTGTTTCACTGACAAGCTTTCTTCATATAACTTCTTCTTGCTACCTGAAACACAGGTTGCTGGGGCCGCAGCTGCTGCTGGTCTTTCTCTTGATGAAGTTGCTGCAGAAGCAAAATGTGCATCTGAAATGGTTGGAACAATGGGTGTTGCATTGTCAGTTTGTACGCTGCCTGGTCAGGTTACATCAGATCGTTTGGGCCCAGGAAAGATGGAACTTGGTCTTGGAATTGTGAGTCATTTCCATGGAGCGATTGCTTTCTTAATGTCAAAAGTGCACTGGACATCCTTTTTATTTGATAATACTTGAGTCCATGTACTTCTGCATCTGCGCATGTATCATAATGCAATTATGTTTCTCCTTCATGAGAGGGAGGGAGGGGTGGTGGTGGGGGTGTTATCCTATCTTTGAGTTGAATCTTTGAATCTTTTTCATGCCATGCGCTTCACTCAGTAGCTGTCCATTTTTCCCGTAGCATTCTACCAATTCTTTGGTGCTCTCGGTTTGCTTCACAACGATTTCTGATTGCTTGTTTACAAACTCGATTTCAAATAACACCATTTCTTTCCAGCATGGTGAACCTGGTGCTGCTGTGGCGGACCTTCAGCCTGTGGAAGTGGTAGTTTCTCATGTTCTTCAGCAAATTTTATCACCGGTATGTTGAAAATCTTAGGACTAGCCCTAAGGTACTCATTTTTTTATATGTTAAATTCAACTTAAACATGCCTGGGTCCCAGATAGTTGGGGCCTTAGCTATGCACGCCTTTTAGTAAGAATTAAAGCCACTTATAGGATTTCATTCTGCAAGGAAGGTGCATGAGATTATAGCAACATAAAGAGACTTTTTTTATTTGAAAAAGCCAAACAGGTGATATAGGTTTCAAGCCACAATATAGTCAATGTGAGAAGGGTAATTTTTATTGTACAACTTATTATTCCCAATTTTGTAATCCAAGTGCATTAGTGACTTTTTGTCTCCATTTATATTCATTTGGCTTCTTGATTTTGTTTCTATTTTCCCATTCTGATTCATTGACAGGCCCCAAACTTTTTAAATATCTTTTCAATGCATCTCAATTGGGGAACTATTTTTCATATGTAAATGCACTTGATCTATTTCTGCTTTCAAGGAGGTCTTAGACTTAAGATTATTTTAGCATATGTGGCAAAAAAATAAAAAATAAAAAATTAGGATCTCTTACTCAGCAGCTAATGTCCTTACCTCGTTCCTAGGAGGAAACTTCAGATATTAATATTGCATATATTTCACTGACAACATAATCAATGCTTCATTGTTTAAATCATTGACTTGTTGCAGGAGACTAACTATGTTCCAATTACTCGGGGTAATAGAGTGGTACTCTTGGTCAATGGGTAGGTTCTTACTTTGTCTGTGCTTTAGATTAGTATATATCATATTAAATTATGGGAATAATGCTGTTCAAAATCAAGCATTCCATTTTGATCGGGTTGTTGGATGTTCTGAACATTTGAAACTTTTGTGTTCACTTCATTTTCATATATTTCCTCATAATTTTGTGAAAAGTTCCTATGTCATCAAAGTTAAAGGGCTGCACCCCTGTTTCTGAGGAAATTTTTCTCCCTCTTGTTTCTTATATTGTCTTAAAAGCAGACTAGGTGCCACCCCTGCAATGGAGCTAATGATTGCAGCAGGAAAAGCAGTTCCAAAGTTGCAGCTGGAACATGGATTGGCTGTCGATAGAGTGTATACCGGATCTTTTATGACGTCCCTTGATATGGCAGGTTTGGAACTGATATAGTTGTTCATCTCAACATAAGTTTCTTTCAGGATTTTTGAAAGAGCATTCTAATAAATGATATAGCTTATGCCAGCTTTTGTTTCTTTTAAGGATTTTCAATTTCCATAATGAAGGCAGATGATGCAATTTTGCAACGTTTGGATGCTGCTACAAAGGCTCCACACTGGCCAGTTGGAGTAGATGGTCTGTGGTGATGTGTCAGGATATTGCTTTTATTCTTTGTGGTTTATTGCTTTGCTTCTGGTCTATAAGATTGATTTATAATATAATTCTTTATTATTATCAGCTTGCATCAAGAATTGGCAATCTATGTTCCTCTAGTAACTTTGGTGGAAAACCAATATATATTATTTGAACTATCAAGTCAGTTTGAAGTTCTACTACTGATTTCACATTGATAAGTCTTACGAGCTGTCTTCGCAGGCAATCGCCCACCTGCCAAGATACCTGTTCCACTGCCACCGTCTCATTCAGCAAAGAGTGATGAGGTATTTTTATACATATTTCTCTACTTCCATAAGTGATCTTAGGAAAAGACAACTCTTTTCTCTGATTAAAGTTCCCTCCTCACAGCATTGATTCTTGATTTTTCTACCATTAGTTCCATAGAAAACAAATTGATGATTTAACGTGCTAGCAGCTATGAATGTCTATATCAGTCTGTGTGTGTGTGTGAGTGCTACTGGTAAGTTGTACACCCTCTTTTTCTTTAATTTTAAAATCTTACCCTTCCCTCTTCTTCCCTCTCCTCCCATCCAAAGAAACTGGGTTTTAATTGCCTTGCATTTTATTGGGACAAAAAGCTGAGCTCATGTGTTGGCATTGCTGATGCTTATTATAGGAACCAAGAAGTACCATGCAGAGGAGTTACACATGCTAAAAATATAAAAGCATCTTTTGGCTCCGAGTTAAGTAAAAACAATAGTTTATGTGCAAGGAGGGAAAAAAACTTTCCATTCAGGCAGAGAGACTCTCCACGTGTTTATGCTGGCAAAAACACTATACTGGATGATCACCCTTATGCTGAATTTCAATAAAACTTGGCCTATTTATGATGATATGTTGAATAATGATGACACTAAAGGCAAGTAACATTGCTTTGTCAAACCTGATCTTCCCTGTTTGGTTTTGACTAGTCATTAAGTCGGCCACAACAGCTTAGTGAACAAGGACATCTTCTTGAGGTGGCTATTGAAGCAGCAGTGAATGCGATCATAGATCTTAAGGACAAATTAAATGAATGGGATGGCATAGTAGGTGATGGCGACTGTGGATCAACAGTGAGTCTATCTCAGGCTCTGTTTTCATCTTGCGATTGTGACTTGGTGTGCTCTAGGGTTGATTTGTCTGCTTTTGCAGATGTATAGGGGTGCCACAGCAATTCTGGAGGACATGAAGAAGCAGTGAGTTTTTTCCCCTAATGTTCAGAAGTTTTTGTAGGGGTTATCAGCATTAAATTATTGTGCTATCTTGTATATTTTAAGAATGTTTTTAACGTATAGTTGAATTTTCATATGGTTTGGGAGGCAACTTCATATGAATTTCATATGCTATCGTTTGTTTTATGAATTGATTGGATCTATAAGCAAGAAATAAACTATTGCTCAATGGTGAATGACTTCTCAAGCTTAGAATCTATAATGGTAGTATGTGTTTTAGTCTCTTAGTAAATTGTAAGAAATTTTTTATTTCTTCAATAAAGTTTTCCTTTTCCATCACTTACCTGAATCATCTTCTTCTATTTCCAGTTATCCCTTGAATGATGCTGCAGAAACAGTGAATGAAATTGGATCATCTATCAGAAGAGTTATGGGAGGAACCAGTGGGATTATGTATTTACCTGTGTTTACTCAATGCTTGATTAAGAAGATTTTATGTTCATTTCTTTTGATTCTTATTTATCATTCATGCATATCTACTCATAAAGCTCTCCATTCTACATTTTTAAACAGATATACCATATTCTGCAAAGCAGCTTGTGCACAGTTGAAAGCAAACATCCAGTCAGTTGTTACATCAAAACAATGTGAGATGATACTCCTAATGTGATCATTGTCAGACATGAAAATCTTGATTCTTACCACTCTCTTGAATCAGGGGCTAAAGCACTTGAAGCTTCCATTGCTGCAGTCAGTAAATATGGTGGGGCTAGTGCTGGATTTCGCACATTGTTAGATGCCCTTATTCCAGCTTCAGATGTTCTTCAGGAGGTCAGCATTTAATTACTGTCATCTACTTTTGCGGTTGATGTGGCATTAACTTTTGATACTTACCTAGTTATTTCCATGAGCAGAGGCTAAATGCTGGGGATGATCCTTGCACTGCTTTTCTTCTCTCGTCTGAAGCAGCAGTGGCTGGAGCCGAATCGACCAAACATATGCAGGCACAGGTGACATTTGGTTCCTCTTCTTTTTTTTTTTTTTTTAGATTATTGCATGTATCTTCCCTTATCTCCTGTAAGGACACTATGCAAGTTGACGCTGACCAAAAATGATTCTGATGAAGTACAATGCTTTTCATGGTAATGATTTCCGCCAATTCTTTGAGTCCACATGGAAAACAAGTGAATGAATGTTTACATATAGTAAATAATGGGCTAGGTGAAATTGCAACCAATTTTACACCCTCTCCCCGTTTCCATTTTTTAAAATTAAATTAAAATCAAAATACAAGCATATAATTCACAGCAAAGAAAGGATTGGGGAAAAAGAAGAGGTCATTAGTGAAAGAACATAACCTTACAGGTAGGACTATCATACATTCATACATTGTATAATTGTTATCTTCAGAGGCATTAGGCTCAAGGCAAGGCCCGTTCTTAGAGAAAAATTTAAGTGGAGTGAACTTTAAATATAAAGAATGCACAAAGGTTGTCAAGGTAAAAAGGTTTATATGTTCAATTATTGTGGTAGCATAATGTAGGTATTTATCAAGGCTAGACATTTTTTTTAAAGCTGGAGGCTGAAAGTTGTAAATTTTCTTTTGTTCTTCCCAAATAATCAAAAAGGATGTTTATCCTCTATGCATGTTTCCTTTGTAATTTTTTTTTTTTTGTGTGTTGACTACTAATCACATATTCATTGGTTTGACTATATATATGGTGGTGTTTCTTATTCCATTATGCCCTATCTAAAGCAAAGTGGCATTTTTTGAGTCCTTTTAAGCCTGTAAAAACCAGTATGAGTGAAGCTGAAAGAGTTTCCATTATATACTTAAGTCACTCTGACATCCTTGAAAGATCATCGCGAGATTGTTCATAAAGTAAATAAATAATTCACTTGAGTAAGAATATCATAAATGCCATGTGCTAGTTCTTTTGTTTCACATTTAAACAACTCACGACTTATATGTGCGATTGACCAAATGGTAATTTGCATGTTTTCTTTTTTCACTGAAACGGCAGATTTTGGTTGTTCTGTGTGATAATCATGTTATGCGTTCTCTCCTGCAAAAAACACTTACGTATATTTATGCATTGCATTGCGTGTGTTTTTGGGGGTCTTACCGAAATAGTTCATGCAGGCCGGTCGCTCAGCATATATCTCCTCAGACATTCTTGCTACAGTGCCAGACCCTGGGGCTATGGCTGCAGCTTCATGGTATAGAGCAGCAGCCTTGGCCATCAAGAACAAATGCCAGATTCATGAGTAGATGCATCCGTCGTTCCCTCCTATTTGAGCTTCTTTTTGGGGCTACAGATTTAACCAAAAAGCTAATTTTTCCTCATGATTGTATACTACAGTCCAACTAATTAGGCTTTCCGCTTTTGCAAATTTTGCTCGCAAAGCAGAGAGAGTGAGTTTTATCCATACGCCTCTTAAAATCTCTAGAAAAATTTAAACTCCAGAGATTGATCAGATCATATTAGAGTTGACAATAATATGTTGAACAGCTGTTTGTAATATCAGTCACTGGAATATAGACTTTGGATGTCTTGTTGGATTGTATATGTAAAAATAACATGCTTTGTACTTATTTTCGGAGATTTTGCACATAATTTGAGGACATTTTAGGACGTGATAGAGCGTTGATACTGTCATGCCTTTTGCACAAAATCCGATTATTTGTTCATCTTTAACACAGATTTAAAAAGACGAGGTATGTATAATATTAACGCCGGTGCAATGCTAATGTCTATTGAGATTTTAGACTATCTGATTTGAATTTATATATATATATATATATAAATCGTTAAATTCAAATCTATTTTTGCAATAGACATTACTAGTTTTTGAGCTTGTGTTGCACTGAAGGTTGAATAAAATATATAAAATTATTTAGAAAAATTATTTCAGTTTAACAAGTATATTTTACGATGTGAATTTATAAAAATATATGAAATCAAAAATAAGAAAAATTATTTATAATTTTTTAATAAAAAATTTTGTATTTAATTATTTCTTATTTGTGTTTTTCATAAATTTTCCTTTAGAAAAAGTAATTATCTTTATTAATCTATGGATTATTAACTAAAAAAAAAATTAAATAATTTTTTTAAAAAGAAGCTTTAGTATTTCACAAGATTGTATTGAAAAACATAAATAACAATTATTAAAAGTTTACATAGAATTGAACAAATAATTTTTTATTTATTTAAAGTTGATGGGAATATCGGTTTTCGAAAAATATGAATTTAATTTTTATATATTTATTTACAAAAGAATGAATAATATTAAAATAAAAAACTATATTAATTTGACTTTCAAATATTAATTAATTAATTTTAGTTCTTTTCTAAAAAAAACCGAGAAAAAATTATTTGAAATACACTTTTAATCTAAAAATGTATTTTAGACAAATTATATATAACTATTAATCATACCACTATAATTTAAAAGTTATTTGAATATATTTTTCAAAGAAAAAATAATCATGTTCTAGAAATTTATTCCAAATTCATACATATAGAAAAATAAATCAAAATTGTCGGTAAATATAATTTTAAATTAATTGGATGAGAATTTAAAAGAAAATAACAAATTAAAGTAGTAAATTTTAAATAATAAAAATAATTTACAAAAAATACTAAAACAAAATGGAACCAAATCACAATATAATCAAAGTTTGAAATTGAAAAAAAAAATTTTAAATGATAAATTAATGTAGTAAATTTTAAATAACATAAAAAAATCAAGAAAAAATTTACACTTTTAATCTAAAAATATATTTCAGAAAAATTATATATATTAATCATGCCGTTATAATTTAAAAATTATCTAAATCTATTTTTCAAAAGAAAAAATAATCATGTTCTAAAAATTTATTCCAAAATTCATACATATAGAAAAATAAATCAAAACTGTCAATAAATATAATTTTAAATTAATTGGATGAGAATTGAAAAAAAAATTAAAGTAATAAATTTTAAATAATAAAAGTAATTAACAAAAAATACTAAAACAAAATGAGATCAAATCACAATATAATTAAAGTTTGAAATTGAAAAAAGAAAGACAATTTAAAGAGAAGGACAAATTAAAATAGTAAATTTTAAATAATAAAAAATATTAAAACAAAATAGAATCAAATTACAATATAATTAAAGTTTAAAATTAAAAAAAATAGAGAGAAAAATTGAGGATAAAAGTGTTATAAAAATATAATGAATAATGATTTGTGATTAACTGAATAATGATTTGTAATAGTGTAAATAATGTTTTAAATAATAAAATTATATTTTATTTTAGTTTTATCGATAATGGTAGTAGCAGCGCAGTTTACAGAGACATCATGAAATTCAATGCCATGAGCATTTCAATAAGGAATGGGAAGTTGTTTCGAGGATATCATAACATGAATCACATGATCTTTAGGTATTAAGTGATGAAGTTGAAAGTTAGGTCTCGAATTTGGTTTCCGAGAAACTACGCTCCATTTGATTGATAGGTCCCATTGCGGACTTGATGCAGATTAATGGTGAGTGATTTTCGGCGAAAGTCTGTTCGGGATATTTCCTCGTGGATGCTAGGAAACGAAGCAGAAAGAACTACAACCGGGAGGATGTAATAACAAATAGAGGTCAAGGAAGCGAATATTATAATGCTTCTAGTAGTAGTAAATGAAATAATTTGCTCTTGACCAATAACCTTAGACGGAAATACCATCAAATTTGAGTCAACAGTCTTCCACCGTTGGATCAAGCCAAATCAGATTCTTAACCCAGAGCTTAGCAACCGGAATCATGTGGGTCAGGGTCTCCGAAAAGTCAGAACGGTTATAGGTTACTTTCTTAATTGCGCTAAATGAAAATCAGCTCCTCAATTATGATATGAACATTCAAACGAGTCTCCGAATTACACATTCTTGTAATTTTACCATCTAACTCCAACCATCTTTTGATTGTTAATCAAGTCCTCTACTTACATTATTATTTAGATACCCACGCTACACTGAGGTTAGACAACCGTTGTATACGTAAGGTCAATGAATCGCATAGTGTGATGTGAGAAAAAATTTTGTTTTTAGCGATTAATATAAATTGAATTTATATATTGAACAAAATTATTTGATTTATATATATTTATTACCAAAATAATTTATAATATTAGCATAAAAATTTATATTTTGAATAATTATGAGGTTCTTTCAAAACATTAATTGAATTATTTTATTTAAAAATACAGATTTTAGAATATGAAAAAATAAATAACAAATAATCGGTGTTATCTATGTAGATATGTAATTAATTTCTAACAAAACTATATATATATATAAGCAAATAAAATCTACAATTTTTTTAACTAATTATTAATTTTTTATAAAAATTGAGTCAAACTATCTAAAACACATTTTTAGTTATCTCTTTCTCTCATCAGAATTTATACATGCAACTACGGTAATCTCATTTAAAAACTATAAAAAAGAATTGATCATATAAATAATAATAATATATTTTTAAAAATAACACAATCGTGTTCCAAGATTTTATTTCAAAATTCATTTATAAAAAAAACTTATGAACTAATAAAATTATATCGAAAAATTAAAAAATTAATTGGATGAGAATTTTAATAAGAAACAAACAATTACAAAAATAAAATTTAAACAATAAGAATAATATATATATATATATATATATATATATTGAAACTAAAATATTAAAAAATATCATATATATTCTATTACATCAAACTAAACGTAAAACTAAAAAAAATAATGATCTATTTTTTATATTTTCACACCTAATTTCATGATAAAAAATATAAAAATAAATTATTAGAAGGAAAAAAAAAAAAAAGAGAAAAGAGGGCAGGCATGTGCAGCTAGTGCAGCGCAGCCCTGCAATAGTGGGTTTGTGAGCTAGGCCTGCGCGCCAGGCTCTTCAACCTCCTCCACTCCAGTCTTCGACTATTGGCAACCCAAAGAAAGAAAAGGTTCAAGCATGTGCCAGCTTAAGAAAAAAAAGTTGCAACTTCCGGCGTGCTTGAGCTCATCGGAAGCTTTGCAAAAAATCGAAGATTCATTTTCAGACCCCAAAAAAATCAATATTGACATTATTTTTTCTCTTAAACACTTTTAAATAACCAAAATAAAATCAATAAACACTTTTAAGGCCTTAAAACTAATTTTAATGCACATTAAAAAAAAAATCAAATCGAATTTTTTTCTCTTTTTTGGCTCTGATCTACATCCTCTTATCATTTAATGACTTAAAACCACTATGAATAAACTCAACTCTCAAAGATAAAAAAATCTAATGGAGTTTTGCCGTCCAAAGTAGCCGAAATAAGGTTTATCGGTGCTTTCTCTCTCCTCCCATCTCTCTCTTCTTTCCTCCCTCATCTCTATTTTTAGGCACCAAAATGTATCAAAAAATAACGATATGGATCGAAACAAAATGTTTGAAAATATCAGGAGACCAAAGTATAAATTTTTTTATAATTTCTATATCATTGCCCATGAAAATTCAAAGAAATAACCAAAAAGCCAAGCTACAATAAATGAACAGTGAATACATCATTTTTTTAAGTTTTTTTTTACAATCTCCATGCATTTCTTCTTTCTATGGATTTACATGCATCCAACACGTGATTACTTTTATGTTGAGCCACAAAATTTTGTGAAAATTACAAGCAACATTTTAGCACTTTAGAAAATAAAGTCTATCTTAGAAAATAATGCGTATCGAATAAATTTTCATGTCAAATTATATTTGAATCACCTAAATCTTGATGATTTTGTGATGGTATATTTTTTTGATATCCTCAATCTCAATATATTGGTTAGTTATTTCAACATTTATTTTTCATCGTTTGCTTTCTCTCTCTTTTTTCATTCTATTATTGTACAATGATTTTGTTTTAGTATCGTGGATTTTATTAAAAAAAAATCTTTTTTTTATGTATCTATTTTAACATGTTTTTTTGTGTGTTTATTATGGTATTTATTTTTATATAAAAAATCTTATTTGAATGATAGAGATAATTTTAAATTTGATCATCCTAAAATTTGCTTTATTAATTATATCAACAATAAAAAAATAATTACAAAATGAATGAAAGAAAATATGCTATCACTAAATGAGATGTAAATTGTACTATAAATGATTTTTGGTCTGATTAGTCTTTTTTTTTCCTTCCTTCAACTTTAGTTAGAATATTCTGAATTCCACTTTAGACACTAAAAACTAAATCCGTCTTCAGTCGAGTTTTATGCAGGCCTTACACACTCAAATCGATGCATTTATGAAAAAGAAATAGAAATAATAACATGGAAAACAAACTCATTTATCACTAGACTCAGCACTTTAATTGTTAGATTATGAATACCTAAATGGTTTTCTATAAAAAAAATAAAAATCAATACGTAAATTGTAAATTTTCTATAAAAAAGGACCATTATATACTTATTCATACGTGATTAATGATGATGATAGCTGGCGATATCAATGGCCGTACAGAGCGAGTTGGCAACTAATCTCATACTCTATTATCGGGCGACTGTAATAGGCGAATAGTAATAGCATTTGGCAATAGCAGCGGAGACTCTCCTCGTCTTCTCTATATAAACTGACACAAGCAGCCATAAATAAAAATAAACCCCAGAAGACTACTTTTCTTTGAAAAAGAAAATAAAAGAGAAAATTACTAGCTTAGCAGTTGTAGGAAGAACATGACTGAGCAGCTAACAGAGGAACAGATCGCGGAGTTCAAGGAGGCTTTCAGTCTTTTTGACAAAGATGGAGATGGTATTGTTATTATCTCTGCACTATTTGATTGCTTGATATTTGCTTTTAGTCAAGACGAGATCTGCTTTGGATTTGTTTGCTCTTGTTTTTGTTACTGATTAATGAATGATGCGTGTGATGTAGTAGGAGTAAAATTGTACTCTGGATTTTGTTTCTTTTTTGATTTCTTTGTTGTTTGTTACTGGCACTTTCTTTTATGGACAGTTGTTGTGGGTTTTGTTCGTATGAATGATTTGTTGAGGACTGAAGCTTCTTATGTGGAATCAAATCAATTGCTATAGTTCTCTATATCGTTATCTTGATGGCCTGTTTAAGATCTTGTGTGATTAGTTGTTTAACACTTTTTTTTTTTTTTTTCAGTTTATTGGTGTTTTCTTGTAATGGATTTATGCATATGAAGCCATTAGATTAGGTTTTTTAGGTAGTTATGCAGGACTGTCTGAGTCCTGCTTTCTCTGAGATGGGAGGTGTTAAAAAAAGGTTGTGTGAGGTTGTCACATTTAATTTCTTAATCAATTGTCTTTAAGTTGGCTTCCATCAAATAAAGCCTTGATTCAATTATTGTGATTTGCTCTGTGTGTGGAACTTATAGAATGATACTGGGCGAAATCACATAGATGCATGAAGAGTATGATTTTTGTGTCTGTCAACACCTCCAAGTTAATTAGCTATCTAGTAAACTGTGATTTAAAACTATCTGATTTAGAAATAGATGACAATTTGCTGTGGAATTTTGATAATTGAGAAGTATTTATTTCATGTTAGATCAGGACTTTTTTCAAACAGTGTGCGATGTCTTGTAGTTCATTTGCTTCTTTGCAGTACAATTGTGAAATTAACATTTCATCCTTTTAAAAGTGTATAAAGCTTCTATAAAATACTATCACTGTTTAATAGGTTGCATAACTACCAAAGAGTTGGGGACAGTGATGAGATCTCTGGGACAAAACCCCACTGAAGCCGAACTGCAGGACATGATCAATGAAGTTGATGCTGATCAAAATGGAACTATTGATTTCCCTGAGTTCTTGAATTTGATGGCAAGGAAAATGAAGGTGAGCCTCTTAGAATTATTGTTATTAGTATTACTTATCCTGTTGGGCTTGGGGCACAATTATTAAGTTTTGATCATGAACAGTTGTCTTTAAAACGTTCCAGTATCATGTTAGGATTGCTGTGTTCTAAAATTTGGATGGCTGAGTCTCATAATTTTGTGAACAGAAGGCTAGTTCAGAAGCGCTGAATTGTCATGAAATTCTAGATATTTTATAGTATGCTTTTTATTTGCGTTGTGTATCCTGTTTATTGACAGGTAATTGGTTCTGCAGTTTGCGGTGCTACTACTACTAATATTTGGTTTGGTTCTGCATCTTTGATTATTGATGTTCTGCCATGCTAGTAAGCTTTTGTTTATGGTGGCCATCTTTCATTCTTAATAATCCAACTAGCATGATTCTTTACCTTTGAAGTTTTCATTTGAAGGGTGTTTTCAAACTCCTCAAGAGGTTAACCACACTCATTCTCTCTTTTATATGAACCGACCAATATGCCCTTGAGGTTTCTTGAACAAAAGCTTTCTATCTCCACCAGTTTCTGTTTGTCACACATAACTGGAAAATAACTAGGGAAAAAAAAGCTTGGGACGGAGACATGAAATAAGAACCCGAAATATGACTCATACTCCAACTCACAAACCTAGTAGTTACTATTACTCTTCCAAAATGGTGAACTTCAATTTGCTCCAAAATAAAACAAAAACATGTGGTGTCTTGTCCTTTCTTGTCACACCCTTCTTCTCCTTAACTCTGTAAGCTCCATAGTCTTCTACATTCAATTCCATATCCTATCTCCCCTCTCCCCTCTACTTTTATCCAAAAATATCTCAGATTTTATTTTGGTGTTTCTTCACATTTGTATCAAACAGAAAGGTCAGGGAATGGTTGGGGTTTTGGCTTTGTTGTTTATTTGGGTCTCTGGTTAGAATTGCTGCAATTTTTGAGAGCTGGGGTTGTGGAGTGGAGGAGGCGACAATTTTTTGGTATTTGTGGTTTGGTTTGAGGCTGGGCTTAATGTGATGATATATGGGATTGAGTCGAGGAGCGAGAAGGGGAATTTGAGTAGCAATTCTCTTGGTATTTGTGTTGAGGTTAGGGTGGTGATCTGCAGCAATGAGTTAGAGAGCGAGTTGCGGTTTCTAATTTGGGATTTTGGGTTCTGGGTTTCTTTTTGTTTGATTTTCACAGGTTTTGGTTCATGTTAATTTCACAAGAGTGATATAAATTATTCTTAGGTGTTTTTACAAGATAACTTCATGTTACCTTCAAAATTAAGGTTTGTTTTGAATCCCAAGAGGTTTGCTTTAGCCTGTTGTAATTTTGATGTATTCGATTTCCAAAAAGGTAAAAATAAAAATTGAAGCATTTTATTATGTTTCAAGTTCAATGGCACCAGAGCCTTTTTTTAAAGACATCTTAATGGCATGTTGGTCAGCTTGCAAAAAATGGAAGATGGGAGTGTGGTTAACCCATTGAGGAGTGTGGACATCACCTCCCTGTGTTTATTTTGTGAAAAATGAGTTTTCCTGGGTTAAAAGATTTGAATTTCCTGTTAACATGTATATCCTGCTGTTGTCCTTTTTATTGAATTTCAACTTTCTGGGTGAAGGATACTGACTCGGAGGAGGAACTTAAAGAAGCTTTCAAGGTATTCGACAAGGATCAGAATGGCTTTATTTCTGCTGCAGAGGTAAACAACATGTTTAGTATCTTTAATGCTATCCTCTTCCTTGATTTGTAAATTCATATAAACCTGTTGTAAGCTTGATGATACATAGCCTATCTGCTATTGATATCTACGGCCCTGGGGGATTTAGTTTCTACTCCGTGTTGATGTTTGCCTGACATGTGCAGCTTCGACATGTGATGACAAATCTTGGGGAGAAGTTGACAGATGAAGAAGTGGAAGAGATGATCAGAGAAGCTGATGTGGATGGTGATGGCCAGGTGAATTACGAGGAGTTTGTAAGGATGATGCTGGCCAAGTGATCGGAGACATTTGTTTTTTGACTTGGAAGCTTTTAGTTTATTAGGATTAGTGGTAGCATCTTGTGTTTGAATGGGATGATACATACCTTCAGTCTCGCTTCCAGTCTTTAACCTTGTGCTATTCTAGTTTCATACTAGTATGCTTGTCATATGAAGTTAATCTCTCTCTTGTGGTAATGAATGTTGGTTTTATATCGCAAGGTAGATTCATATCATAATCCATAGAATTATGCTCTTATGGCTTCTCTATTGAGTGTTTTCACCCGCATGTTAAGAATATAAAAAAAATCTGTCCCTTTTCCAGTCAGGGCCTCAATTGAGCAATGAAAAGTGGATCATCTGTTCCTTACTCTGCATTTCCTTTCTCGTGGAAAGAAGTCCTGCGTTATAAAAAGCTATTATAACTCTCCAAAGTATTCAATCATATCTTGAAAATGATTTCTTTTCCTCTTTTAAAATTTGCAACCAGATTGCCATAGCTTGGCACGTCCAATAGGAGGGTCCTTTCCTTGGTTTCGTTCCCATGGATTCACGAGAAAGATCCCCGACAATTGGTTCAAGTAACCTATTCTCTTTCCTATTCTATGTGCATTAAGATCCTTCATCATGCCATTTATCAACTGTTACAATGGTTTTGCATTGGCGTGCTTACCGTCTCTGGGCATTGGTTTTAGGTCCTGTTTATTCCTTTAGAGCTCGTCAACTGCAACATAGCATTGCCTTGTAGTTTATTTCCTGCTCCAGTTACTTGGCCACATCTATCTTCGGCGCAACAGCATGCTTTTGAGCTGGTGAGCTCAGTTTTTAGCTCCGTTGCTTAGCATTGGAGGCTTGCTTTTACTGTTATCCTTCTTCGGTCCCTTCTGATTCTAACCAGTTACCATCTTCTACGCTACCTTAGGGCCCATAGTTCTGATATAACTGGCAGTACGACTGATTACACCATGGGCTTTTAGATGCATCCTGTTACCTCCAACTTCTTTGTTCTGGTCCGTCTGGACAGAAGAGGTAAAGAACTGGCCATAGTTTTTCAAAATGTTCTCTGGTTAGAATAGAAGCATCTTCTAGTCTACTAGTATATGCTATGTTTCAGCCATGACATGGAGAAATTTGGAGCATGACATTGTACAGTGCTGGGGAAAAAAATATAGTCAAAGTTCTGTTATAGCCCAAGTAAGCAAGGCATGCAGAGAGAATAATAGTAAGTCCACTAGCGTTGTCCAAAGCAAAATACTCCATTTCTGACAACCAATCATCACATACATTTATCTTCCCTATAGCCATTGATTAATTTGAAGCGTCCAATTCCTGGACAACAGATCTCAAATTCTTTGAAGGGAAAAGTTGGAATCTGCAAGCCAACTATCTTCACCAATTAGCACATCACCACTCCCAATAAGAGTCCAGCTCAGTCTGAGCGGCTGAGCGCCATCTAGGGGTTAAAAACTGCATTAAATAGAACATAAAGTTCCCGATCATCATTAAGAAGAGAAACTGGCTTGTCTGATTTAAGGGTTTTATTTGTAAAATGGAAACAGAAAGGGGAAAAAAAATTAAAAAAGGAAGGGAAGGGACAATGGAAGTTAGGGCAAAAAAGATAAAAGATAAACGGTGACAAAAAATCAAGCTATTATGCACAATTATCTTCTTTCTTTCTTTTTTTTCCCTAAATTCCCACCTCACAATTTTTAGAATTTTAACTTGGGACCTTGAAATCGAAACTTCAAGTCTCATCTTCTACCACTAAATAGTCTGCATTTGAAGAATTCAGGACTACAGCTTTTTGAATTTGCTCTAATAAATCAAAGAAATCTTAACAATAATTCAGATCATCACATCAAAATCATGAGAGGGGACATTCAGATCATATTATATTGCCATAACTTGGAGACAATTAATTAATTATACAAGCAATATTGAGTCATACATGCATGCATTGTTAATTAACAATGGATTTGGTAAATATATTAAGAAAAACAAAATTAACTAGTTTCTTTCAACTTCTTTTTTTCAAGATCCCATGTTCCCATTTCGTTGGCACCCAAGATTAATTGCTCAAGCACTTTTTTCTGGAATTTTGCATGAAATGTAAGCTCTTTTTTTATCAAATAATCATAAGTTTAAAATGAAAAGAAAAGAAAAAGGATAATTAAGAAAGTATGTTATCTAGAGGAAAAGCAAGGATAAATTACAACCAAAAAAGGAAAAAAAAGTTAACCCAAAGATAAAAATAAAAATAAAAAATCATCTCCTCTCTCTCTTTCTTAATGTTACTGAGAGGTAAGAGAAGATGCATTGCCAGTAGAAGCAGAAGTAGAAGAAGAAGAAGAATTCTTATGATTATGCATCCAAACTTTAAAAACCTGTCTACTAATCCCAACTCCTCTACAAAACCTCTCTACTTCGTCTTCTTCATCTTTCCTTTGTAACTTCCACCCCAACTTCTCAGCAAACTCCAACATCTTCTCCTTCTGTTCAGCTGTAAACTTTGTCCTATACCTCTTCTTTCCGCCCCTTTCACCTGACTCCACCACCATCCCTGGCGGCCTGAAATTCCTTTCATTATTCCCCTCTCCATAGTCTATCATTTCCTCCGATGATGGTGGGTGCATTATTTGATCCCTTCTGTTGCTGCTGTTGCCGTATGTTACTTTGCGGTGGAAGTTGCGGTGGCAACCACAGGCTGCACATTGGAGGGAGGATGGTGATGAGGTGTCATCTAGGGTGAACTCACCACACCCATCCGTGGCATAGCTCCCAAGACTGGCTGCATGGTTTCTTAGGCATTCTTTGTACAGATCGTTTGTGTTATCACTTTCCATTCTCTTTCTTTCTCTCTATTTTTCCTTCTCTCTTTGTCTGTTAATTTGGAAGGTGTAGATGTACTGTTTTTATGTACTATAGTTTGTATATAAAATGGAAGATAGGAGGAGGGTTGAATTACTATGACGGTCCTACATGGTTATTCTATTTACATTATTGCTACTACGTTTTATTGCTCCTTTTGAAAATCTTTTTTCACATTTGCAAAAGAAAATATTGTTTTTTATTTATTTATTTGATGTGTGAAAATTGTAATGCGTATATAATATTTTTTTTTCCTTATCAAAGTTTGCATAATTTAACTTCTCAATTTTTAATTTAATTTACATACGAGACTGGTTTTTTTTTTTTTTTTGGTGAAAATATTTGTTAAGATGTCATAACAAAACCACCTAACTTGAAATGATGTTTAGTTTGAATGGTTTTATTCCTAATTGTTACATAAAAACAAATCAGCTCAATTTTAGCTTTAATAGTTCATTGTAATAAAGAAAAGACTACCGGGTGTTATTAGGTTTCAATTGTTTTATGATATAAAAGGAGAAAATTGATAAGTGAAATTGTTTAATGTTGTCTCACAAGATTAGAAAAGTTTCAATTATATCTAAATCAAACGAAATTAACTCAACTGATGTTAGTATCTTCCACTTTTTAAAAAAATGTAGAGTACTTTGAACATTTTTTTAAAAAATAAAAATAAAAAATAAAAAATAATTTAATTATATGTTATAAATATTTTTATCACCATTCAAACTATATATTGTTTTGTATTAAAATAAGTGAGTTGATTAATAAGGTCTTTGAAGTAATTAAGAAAATTTAATTAGAAATTAATTCGAAACTTCTATTATCATGAGGTTATGAAATGAAATCATGTGAAAAAAAAAACCCTAAATCCCAAAAGATTAGAAAATTTTTAATTATATTTAAACCGAAAGAAATTAACTCAACTAATATTACTCTCTTTCATATTTTAAAAAATCTGAAGCACTTTGAACATTTCTTTTTTAAAATAAAAATAAAAACTGTTTAATTATATGTTATAAATATTTTCAACACAATTCAAACCCTATATTGTCACGTATTAAAACATGTGACTTGATTAATAAGATATTTGAAATAAAAAAATTTAATTAGAAATTAGTTTGAAACTTCTAATTATATGGAGTCTTGTATTTAGGTCATGAGGTATTGGAATGAAATCATACAAAAAAAAAAAAAAAAAAAAAAACCTAAATCCCATGATATAATCCAATATCTAACGAACCTGCTAAATGAGGGGGAAAATGATCATATATATATATATATATATATATGATGCCCATCATTTTACTTAGAGGTCAAAATTTTGAATGGCATGGTTGCAAATCTTGAAAAGGGCAAAGGGTACAAGGGGGAGATACATAAGATTGTCTTGATTCATGAATGCAAACACAAACACCAATCAGTAACCATGTAGAATAAATTCGAAGGAACATCTCTCTCTCTCTCTCCTAGTAAGATCATTGTGGGTGAAGAATGAGTTGGAATCCTTCTCCTCTTGTTGCTGTAATATTTAACAAAAAAGATGGGCTTCATTGTCCCAATAAATTAAAATATAAAACAAACTTAGCTAAAAGAACAAGAGGGCCCGTGAAGGGTATGGGTTAGTTCAATAATTGACGTCGGGAAGGGAGAAGTAAAAGTCGTCGGGAATTTCATATTCCAAGTATTTACATTCGCCTCTTGCAACTTGCCACTCCATCGATCCTTGTCTACTTTTCCATTTTATGAGTAAAGAATATGGTGCAGCTCAAGTTATGTACATAGACATCAACCATGCAAACATTCTCAATACGTATAGAGCTGCGTCTGTTAGAGAATATCTCGTTTTAGTGGTTTAACCTAATTACCGATCAGACAAATTAAGTTTAGTGGTTGATTTAGAAGTTTTAATGAGAAATAATTTACTTGGGATTCTCATCGACGCCAACAATACTATTCACAGATTGTGCAGCAGAAAGCCAAAACGCATGTTGGATTGAAAAGACAGAGAGAAAAAACAAACCCTTTTTATATGATCAAATCTATTGACATAATGACAACGATTGATTAAGCCATGTAATTAAGTAGGGTTGGATTATATTCATTTCTTTACGGTTTATGATGGCAAAACTTTGAGGGGCTAGATTGTGATAGAGAAGGGTGAAAGATGGAAAGAATGGCGTGAGCATGATTATAGTGTGATATTAGCAAGATGTGAAGCTGGTGAGGGTCATAACTCATAGGAATTGGTTGCTGCTGCTTCTGCAGCTGCAGCTGCAGCTGCCTGTGGTTTGGTTCACTTGATGTGTCGGAATCTTGTCCTTTTGGCTTTAGAGTGTTAATTGCTTTGTTTCCATTTCTGCACTCAGTGTCCTGTCATTGTTAAAGGACTCACATGTACAATGCAACACTACAAGCTGTGCAGTACATCAATTGGGCCCCAAAACAAACAAGAAGAGATAAAGAGGCACAAAAGAGAGATAGAGAGAGAAGAAGAAGAACCATGTCCATAATCAATAACTTATAATAAGACGGACGGACAAGAAGAATAAAATCATAAAAGACCCTTATCTTGATAATTTACTTCATAATAATTATGCCAAACATATTGGATATGTTAAAATATATATATTTACATATAGGTTAATTCGGTTGGCTTTCAGTCTTATTCATTCCTTCTTTTTAATCCCCCTTTTCACTGTATACAGTAAACAATTGAATGATAGTTCTTGTGATTTTATTAGGGTAGGTTTCATTACTTGTTTTTTGTTTAAAAATCTAAACGTTCGCATACCGGTTTTGCTCCTCCCTACATAACAAGTTTAGTGTTGCCTAAATGTTCAGTAATAAAACCCATCTTCTCATTTCCGCATGGCTCCTCTTGCCAGCACTGAGTGATGATGATGATGTTCATCATGTACTTATGTTTTTTATGCCCTTGATTGTTGCTAAGAAACAAAAGAGACAGTACAGAGAAAGAAAGAAAGAAAAAGATAAAAATAAAAGGTAAAGATTAAAAAAAGGATGGCTTTAGATGCGCATGCTTATTGTCAAATCTGACAATTTCTTGTGTATATGCACCACTAAGAGAAAAGTTGAAAAACCTTATATCACAAGTGTTAAATCGCTGTCCAATCTTGCTACCACATATTGATTGATCTGTTGCTACCAGTAATAAAGGCAAAGTCGGCAAGCATTTTATTCTTTCATATTTTAGCAAGCTAGGTTTCAACAAAATACTCCCAAGGATTTATTACCTAGTTGACTTCCGTTTTCCATATTGAAAAATCCTCAAAAATAAAATAAAAAATAAAAATAAATAAATCTTCTGTTGCCCTTAATTCTTGATTTAGGAGTTGTTGTGGTTTCCATTTTCTGTCTTTATGCTTTGCAACTTCTAATTTACAGAATCAGCATCAAAACTAAATTATCATCAGAATCTAGAGATCTTGTCCCCTTGAGTTGATCAATTTCAGGCTTTCAAGGTTTTGAGGGAAAACTACTTAGACAAGCACGCAATAGTTTGGTTACTAACTGGTACTTCAACAAATATATATGCACGTAGTGTCAAAGAATCATCTTTGACTTTGATGGCAGCAAAATCAGACTTGTATAATTTTTTTTTATAAATATTGTCTAAACTGTAAACAAATGCATGCCATCATACTTAAGTAGAAATGATATGGGGGCGTTGATTGTGAGAATGAAGCTGAGTAAATCTTTCTCTAATCAGATTTTAGAGTTAATATATTTACCCGTTTTTATATAATAGGTCAATTTTTTAATTTGTTTTTAAAAAACGCCTCTAATTTGTCATCATATTTTGAGATTGTTTCTAATTTATTTGTTTAATAAAAAATTTGGGATGAAATTAAATCAAATTAAGCATGTGATTTTCACATGATATGAGATTTGACAAAATTGTTTTTGTTATTTAGCACAAGTGATCTATATCTATTAATATAAAGATTAATTTCTGAAAATTGGTCAAAATTTTTTACCGGAATGATATATTAGAAACAAACTACAAATATGATGGCAAATTCATGACTTTTTTTTTTTTTTAGAAACAGATAGAAAAATTAACTTATTATATAAGGACATGTGAGGGTATTAATCTCAAATTTTAAGAATTTATTGATTTTTACTCTTTGGTGTCAATGATAAAAAAAAAAATTAAGACTAATTGATTTTAGTGTGTGAAAATAATTGAAAATATCATTTGGCCTTGGAAAAAAGGAGAAATAAATTTAGGCCAACAAAAAGCGAATTTTTTAAATTTAAAACCTAACTAACGCCCTCTTAATTTCTAAATAAAACATTGAACAATTATCATATGAGAAATGTGTTATGACACATTAAAGAATTGAGTTATGGAACTATATTGTTATGAATTTGGAAGCACAATTTGTTGGGAAGCTAGCCCTGATCTAATGCAATATCACAAAATTGAACTTTGAAAGAATCAATTCCATATATAATAATATAAGAATGATGACAACTCATGAGCTGAGGCCACAATTTGCAATTCTGGGGTTTTAGAAATGGATCACAGGAGAGAAAATGTTAGTAATTGATAAATAATTGCGAACAGGACATCACACATTTCTGTTAAGGGAAGTTTGGATTGCTAGTTTCATGGAAGACATAATTAGGTCTAAAACATTAGTTTGTCTCCCTTTCCTTCATCATTAATTTTCATGGGTCCCCACTCATTCAGAATATTAATTATGGTCAACTAGAACATCCAACTTTCAGTTCATGAACCTAGCCAACTTCAACTTAATAATGTTTCCCATTTATGAATTTATAGTTTGGTATATATGACATTTTTGGCTGAAACATGTGACAATATTGCTCGTATATAAATATTCTTCATTTTTAGTTAATTAAGCACATTTTTTTTTTTTTTGGAACAATCAAGACGTGCCACTTTCAATTCACTATATTCTGCGAACCATGAGTAGTCTAGCTT